GGCGTGGCTTCACCTGTTTGGTTCCAACACTCGGGCGAGTTGGACCAGTGGATACGGACATTCAGACTTTTCCTAATCGGTACGAGTTATGATCGTCGGACTTTGAGCTTGCATGTGTGCCGTGGGGTGTAACTTTGTCGGACATTGTTTTCAAGCCAGCATATGAATAGTTGCTGCCATGGTGTACCTCAGCGCGGTGACGACGACACTGAGGATTGACAGAGGATGTACGTAGGTGGGATCTTGCTGCGAGAAGTCGCCCACAAGAGATGTTACTCGTCTTGGCTGCGGGTAAATCTCTCGGTCAGGGTTGAGTCTCAGCAGCACAGTTTTCCATTCGCTCCCGAATTTTAACCAAGAGTTGTCATTTGATGGTACATTTAGCAAGCAGTCCTTGAGTTTTGTTACTTTTCACCCATGCGTTTGGGGGCGGGCTGGTGAGAGCCAGAAAGGACTCTACACCTCTAGGAGCCGCCAGCTCCGAGATCCCCTGCCAACTCTGTTAATGCTCATTTGAGACATTATCCGTGGCGCACGACGGGGACGTGCAACAGGAGTCTTGCATGAGGTTCCGTAAAACCAGAACAGTGAAGGACTGGCGCCCGAGTGGGGTACGGAATATCTCCTTATACACATCACATCAGACTTAACTTCCCCTCATGCCTGTGACCGAAATCACCGCGCCACATTATATACTAACAATACTACTGTTTATTAATTTTTATTTTTATTTTTTTTTTGGGGGGGGGGGGTGACTATTTTTTAACAATCGTTTGTTTTATTTTATTTCATTTATTCCACATCACATTTTTTTTAAACGTTGCTCACGTCACCCCTTAGAGATCTACACACTCTCCTCTCCTCGTTGCTACGTTTGTGTAGCTCACTATGTTTGAAAAAAAGCTGCCGGGCCGAAACGTTACGTTGTGTTGTTTTGTTCACGTTTTTCTGCTTCCCCATTTTGTTGAGCTTTTTATTCAAATTTCTCTGGAATTCCTTGTATAAGCTTGACTGCAGTCACGCCCTCCCCCCCCCCCCATATTTTCACCATTTTTGTTATTCATTTAATGCTGATTGGCCTATAAAACTATGAGGCGATCATTATAGACCTAATGTGAAGTCGTCGAAAGGTTTTTTGTTTTTGTTGTTCCTCCTTCTAAATAAGATTGCTGACTTGCTAGCATGTTTGTCTGCCAGTCATTGGTTTTAATCCTATTTGCGGCAGAACATTAAATCTGGGCCTAAACGTTGACTATGCCTACAATTGGCAGCAGGAAAGTTCCTGTGGATATGAAGGTGGCTAGCATGATTTTGAATTTCCCTCACTGAACACTTATTGACCTAAAACTATGAATCCTGCAACATGTAACCAATACACCTCATTATGTCGCAATATGCCCCTCCCCCTCCCTTTAAAAAAAAATACTTGTACCCATTCTTTGTTGGTAAGGAGCTGTAACATTTGTCAGCACCAGTGAGTTATCAAACTTATGTACTGTCTATGTTCACACTTTGTTGTATGAATTTATGTTGACATAAACTTTTAATTGTCTCTAAAACTTGTCCACGTCTTTGTCTTGTGAATGCAGTTTCACTATCCCAACACACCAAGAATCAAACTCAGACAGCTTTATGTTGTTGTCGATAACATTATAAGCATCGTGCCCATTTTTTTTTTCCGAAGCAATAGCAAACTACTGAATTTAACATTGCCTTGTCTTCTTCTTACAAACGGGCAACTGGCTTATGGTTTACAACTAGACTGTGATATTTGCACCTTTCGGCCCAACACGTCAGATTTAGGAAAACCAACAAATAGTTAGTAACCTTTTACAACATGCTTGTTGAGGGGCATTGTGTCTTTTCTTCTTATTCTCCACAATGGGGTCCTGGAATTCATACGAGAAACATTGCCTAGTAACGCCATATACCAACCAGTCAATCAGACTGTTAGTGGTACCTTCGGAACTGGAACTCTGCACCTGCTGCTGGAGATGGGGATGGAGCGCTCATGGGAATGTCCGAGTGATGCGATGTCGATTCCTAATTAAACATGAAACAGTAAATGATTCAGAATGAATCTAACTAGGGCTGAAATCAGTAAAGTCTAGGCGGACAATGGCACGAGCCAAGGCTAACATGCGGGTCACTAAAGATTAAATCACCCGGTGCATAGCAGCCTGAGAAACAGGGATATAGAGAAGAATGTCATGGACGGAACGGGAAACGAAGGCGTCGATGGAAATGAAAGAGCTGACAGGTTGCCTGGATCCGCTGTCACTACCGAAGGTCAGCCTATGGATCATGCTGATATTAATAATGCCCTAAAAGAAATAGGAAGGATAGAGGACTTTGTGGCAGTGAATCCACATCACTCGCCAGAATGGCAGACTTGGGAATTAAGATCGGCATAGCAAAAAACGAGACGCACACCGGAAGACTTGTTAATTAACATAGAGCTGGTACTATTAGCCATCGGACCTTGGGGTTCATACTGAGGGGAGGATCTGAGCACCAATGGACATGTCCGGAGTACAATGATGATAACCCAACTAACAAACTAACTAACTAACTAATGATTCAGAATGAATCAGTGGGAATTGTCTCGGGTTGTACACGAGATGCCACAATTATAACAATGAAGTAAATGCTTGGGTTGAAATCAGTAAAGTCTAGACTGACACTGACGTAAGCCAAGACTTACATGCGAGTCACTAAAGATTAAATCACCCAGTGCATAGAGAAACAGGGATATAGAGAAGAATGTCATGGGTGGAAAGAGTGAAGATACCTTGAGCTGGCGACCTCATTAGAGTAAACACAGGAGAAATGGGTCTACAGAAACATACACTACAGCATTTTCACCAGGTCATCAGTTGAGTTGAGTCAAGAATTGACATAACTGCATTCGGGGCATTCCTACGCATGCTCCGTCCTCATCTTCAGCAACCAGCGCAGAGTTCCAATACTGATGGTACCGGTCACAATCTGGTTACATGATCGTCTTGCCTTTCCTCTGAGTGTAGGTAGCCGACCAGACGCTCTGGTTACACACAGGTGTCTCATTCTCTCCAGGCCACAATAATCTTGTTTCTCTACTATTCCGTTGTTTGTTCCCAAAGGACCTTCACCACATCTGCCTTGTCATGTTATCACCAGGTCATCACCATACGAGGAAAGAATAATTGTTGTTGAATGTTGAATTAACAATCGACACCATAGCACTCGGGACACCCCCATAAGCGCTCAGTCCTCGTCTTCAGCAGCAAACGAAGAGTTCCAATTAGTAAGGAATCTAGAGGCAGTATAATGGTTTGGCAGGCTAGAAGTACAACAAAAGTCAGATAACAACATGTACCGATGGGTTTGTTCATCAAGGTGAAAGATCTAGCTGGGGTTTCTCAGTGAACAATACGTGGAAGTGGTGGAGTTGTAGTTTCACAGACGATTGATGAGAACTTGAATGAGACCGACTGACGAAGAGACAGCTCACGTCAGATAAATATAATACACATTCTTGAGAAGAAGAAATTGTGTTGCGGTTTACAGCTAGAATGCGATATCTGCGCCTTTCGCCCCAACACATCGGATTTCAGCAAAGTCCTAATTAGTTGTCTCTTACAACATGCTTTTTAGGTGTATCTATTCTTTTTTTTTTTATCCTCAAACATGTCGCCCTGGAACCCACAAGGCGAGTCATTGGTAATGCGAACAATAGATCAAAAACGACTCCTCCCCAAATAAAGACACCGTTTTTAGGGGTGCCTAGCTGGTCATTTATCTTAGTACACTTGTTTCTATAGCAAGGTGAACACATCATTTGGAGGTGACAGGTTCGATTCCCGGCACAGTGACTATCCTCTTGTTAGAGTCCATACCGTATCGTGTGGCGTTGGTAGTCATATCTATCCGCAACATTTTGTCTCGTGTACTTCTAATCAACTCTGACACAGATGATCCTCCATAACATGATGTCAAACTGTCCAACACATCTTCTCTCGGTCTCCCTCTGCCTTTCCTCCCCTCCAGCATTCTTTCTGTCATGATGCACTACAGTTTTCTCATTCTCACCACATGACCAAAGAATGCAGATTGTCTCTTTCTGATGTGGGCAACCAGTTCTCTTCGTAAGTCAGTAAGAAAGTAAGTTTCACCCCCACCAGGATATCACACAAAGCAATGAACACCCGGTGACACCATTCATGTGAGTATCACCCGTAGAGAGGTCCTGGAAACTCCATACAACCGTTGTTATATATAGGCCCCTGGCAACAGCCGTGGTGGGCAAAAATGAATTCAAAAATTGCGTCCTACAAGGGGACGACGTGAGTCGGTAGGTAGGTAAGTTGTGCATCACTAGGATATCACAAAAGCGATAAACAACCGGTGACACAAAGTGCCACCATGAGGATGAGGATCACCCGTAAAGATGTCCCGGAAACCCTATTCAGACTTTAGGCCATATTTAAGGCTCGGCTATAATAAGGGCCCCCGACAAAAGCCCAAATGGGGCTTCAAAATAAAAAAAATAAAAAAATTGCATCCCACCGGGGGGGGGGGGCATAGTTGTAAGAACGTGAGTGATTCTCTTTCAAGACATCTTTATTACTCTATTCATTACGGTAACTATAGCTTCGATTGTTATGTTGTCTAGTGTGTCCTTCTATCTTTCTACTTTCTTCTATGAGTGCCGATCAATACACTGTCTGTTTATTTTACATACACCATGAATAAAGAAAGGTTTGTAACTGAATCTTCACCAAAAGCGAGCCATATTATGACGGTTAATTCCCCTAAAATCCTTGAACTTTAACCTTGATAATGATTTCGAGCGCGTTGATTGGTCTGATTCCGTGTCACGCACTGAGGTCGTGACTTAGTCCCCATGTTTCCTGTCGGAGAGAGAGAATCTTTCTCCATGAACCCAGGAGTAAACACACCATGAAATTTCTGTGATTTTTGTCTTATTCGCTGTTTTCATAGTTCTGGATTTCATTATGATGGCTGTTGACGATATGCGGCCGGTTTATTCCCATCGGAGTATGGTGGATATTAAACAAGAGCTGCCGAATGCTTCAGAGCCCAGAAGCAAAACAATCCATAGTGGCCATTTTATGGTTAGTCGTGTGCATGATGCAAACAACGACGACGATGAAGAAGAGGCCACCTCCCCCTTTAGCGACGACTCGAAGGGGTTTGATTTTTTCACGGCCAGTAAAGAGACCAGTACGACGTACAACTTCGCGAATACGAATAATCAAGCTGTGGGGATTGATGCATCGTTGACCAAGCTGTTTGAATGCATGACTCTAGCTTACAGGTGGGAACACTGTTTTTATCATATCATAAACTAAATATAACTTTATGGTTATTAATATTACATTAAGTCGACTTGGTAATTAATCCCTGTGTTTCACCTTTAAAAAAAAAAAACCCCGTGTTAAGGCATAGGTTCTGAACCAAACTCAGCTGCCACACAATCTTATCGAGCTTGTACAGTACATGGCCATGGCCTCCCCATCTGGTTCAGCTGTCCAAGATTAGAGGAAAAGTAAAAAAAGGGCTCTTCTCCTAACTTCTGCCCGATATTATCATTTATGGCGGCCAAACAAATACCCTAAAAGGGCCTCAGTCGTGTGTAAAATGCGGACTTCCAGCGACGAACACATCGCGGCAAAACTAGGATTACTTGACAATTTCAATAGACGCAGCACTGCAAACGATAGTAGTAGATGATAATAGCGACTGTTGACAATTTAGAGCGTTTCTGCAGACGATACTAGCTGACGATACTAGAGACCATTGACAGTTTTCAACATTACAAACGATAATATGGAGATGGCGGGGAGACCATGCGCTCCAACACAGATTAGTCATAGTGTTCTTATGTATTAAACTCACTGCCAAGCGTATCCCCTGCGCCGCTACACGCGGCACAGATGGGTATCTACACTAGATGCCTGGGACTCACGAACAAATAAATTGGAGGAAGTTGCAGGAGATGCGGTAGCTGCTGCTCGTGAGTCCCAGTCATCTAGTTTAGCCCTCCCCCCATCCGCACATAGCGGCACGGGGGATACTGTCGGCGTTGTGGCATAGTCGCAGATACTGGTCAGCAATTAACATATCGCTGAGACCCTGTTGGAGCATTTCTTTCGTTATTCGGAACCGGTCCTATTTTGCCACGATTTGTTCCTAGACGCCCTATACCACGATAAAAATCTGCGCAGTCAGCAGTGGGTTTTGATCGCGGTACGTTGGATTCACGAGTGGAACTCGCATAGCCTAAGCCATGGACGCCACTGGCCTAGATTAGGTATCTGCTTAAAGTTAAACGGTGTTGTTACTGTAAAATTTGAGCCTATAATAAAAGAAGGAATCCTTATAAAAACTCAATGAAATCGTTTTTAAAAGAATGATAGCAGTGTAACATACTATGCCTGTTGTGAGGTGACACAAATAAGGATTGCATGATACTGGCTACAAGACTGCAGGAGGCTTAAGCTTATCAGCTTATTCTGAGTTGGTTGAAGGTCTATGCTCCATTGTGGTATATCTCTGTGTGGGTTCTGGCACTCCCCCTCCCCCGCCCCACATAATAGACCAACTGCACCTTAAAAAACATGTAATTTAAGTCAACTAATTAGAGCTGTCATATTTATTCCAACTCTGTGCTACCAGTGCCAGACATGGTCACTCACAACAAACCATAAAAGAAAATTAGTAACCATGAAATGAGATGTCTGAGAAGGGCTGTAGGAGTGACCATAAGAGATAAGATCAGGAATGAGATCATAAGAGAAAAAGTCTCACAGAACCAATTCTAAATTACAAACAAAGACAGCAAGTGAAATGGTTTGCCCACTTAGAGAGAATGCCTTGTGACACCATACCATACAAAGCATACATGAAAAGAGAAGAAGGACACAGAGCAAGAGGTAGACCAAGAACAAGATGGAAGGATAACATCAGAGAAACTCTACAACAGCACGATGTGCCTATGGTTGAGGCGACCAGAAGAGCTAGAAACAGAACCTGATATCTCCCTCGACACCCACAGCGGTAAAAGAGGAAGTGAAGAAGAAGAATTAGAGCTGTTTCCTTTAAAGTGCATTTGCTTTGCGATGCGAACCATCAGTTTGCATACACATTAGCGAGATATGTAAAATGAATGTACATGGAAAACTCAAACATAAAAAAAAAAATAACACTGGAAGATATAGAAAGAAATTACATAAGCAAATGATTTTGTAATTAAGAAATGTAACACATGTTTTTAAAGATGTGTTATAAAAACCTACTAAATAGTACTGACAAAATAGAATTCTATAGTAAATAAGTTTTACCAAACCAGGACATCACACAGAGTGATTAACGCTTGGTAAAACAAAATTCTACCAGCAAATGACGATCACCCATGGAGAGGTCTAGGAAAGCCCCTTTACCTGTTAGGTTAAATTAGGGCTCCCAGCAACAGCTTCAAAATAACGAGAAATTGCATCCCACAAGGGGACAGCGAATTATAACAACATTCTGTAGTACTGCTTTAGTCTTTTCTAAGCATAAGTGGTGTAGTCTTGGTCTAGAACTTTTATGGGCATCCGTTTTACAGATACAGCTTGTGTGCAGACTGTTGGTTCCTTATCTCTGAGGCTGAAGCACTCTGCCTTCAAAGGAAACACCTCTACTTAGTTACCTTTTATGAAATGTTTGTTTGGGCCTGGAGTCCTGCTCTCTGTCCTCTAAAATAGAGACCAGGAATCAACATGAGAATACTGCAGTGCTAAATATTCCTAAATATTTTGAAGTTCTGAGACAAATTGTTATGAGCTCACTTTACTAAACGTCCCAGTTTGATCCAGCTGCACCCCGTTTGGGTACTGGGGCCCTATTATAAAAAAAAGAATAGACCCACTGCCTACTAGTCCTACTGCCTATTAGTCGACTAATTGGGAGCTTCCTTCAAAGTCGGAGTGCATCTGCCTGAGAGGCAAGGAACCAGCACTCTGCGTACAAATTAGTCAGATCTGTAAAATGGATGCACACGTAACACTCAGGTTCTGTGACAGGACTGCAGTCCAAAAGTGGATGAACTACCAGAACTTTCCACCAGAGTTTACGGCTGGTGAACATGAAGAAGAGGAAAGAGAGATCCAGCCACAAATGATTGGGTATTAGACAACTTTCAGTTTGGCTTTAGGTCAATATGGCAGATAGGTGGGTTTAGTTGTGGCAAAATTTTGCTTCTGACAGCAGCTGGCTGTTGCATTTTCCTTCATGTCTAGACTGAAAGGATATGGTTCCATCACCCTGCTGAGCTGCGGATTTAATTTTGAATGCTTCTCGACTGCCCAGCATGGTGTGTGGTGTGAACTGCAGGTTCATAAAATGTTGCCAGAGAACTGTCAGTGCTTCATGCAATTAATTGCATGTGCAACTACTGATGTGTTGTAACTGCTGCCTCCATCAACGATGAACTGCATTTCTAGTGTCAGACTGTTTGTTTTGGCCCTTCTGAGTGCTGCCTTATGCATTTACTGCACATGAATGCTGTTAGATTTGATGCCGACTGTTAAGTGAGCAGTGGCAAACTTGTGAACATAAAACGGCCTAATAAAAACATCAGTACACCAAGACAAGCTAGGGTTAGCTTGTGACATTCTCTAAAGTGGGGCTATTCAGCTGATGGCCTGTGGGTCAAATCTGGCCCATGGAGGCATAGCAAGGGACTCACGTTGGCACAGCAAGTGGCCCGCGGATTAGTGCTAGTTGTATTGTAGTAATCTTTCTCCTTCTTTTTCCACCGGCTGTAAGCTCTGGCAGAAAGTCCTGGTTGTTTGTCCTTTTATACTTTAGCTTTATGCCAGGTCCTGAGTTTTGTGTGTATATCTGTTTTACTGGCTTACTGTGACCCATGATGATTTAAATGTTGAAAATGATGGTTCCTGAGTAAACTGATTTGAATAGCCTTGCTCTAAAAGATATGCAGCTTACATTTATTCATAGATCAAGGCTATTGTACTTTATTATTAAGCTGGTTTGTCAGTCAAGCGTACTTGCTGTTGGCTAGAGTAAATTTTATCAGTTACTGATAAGATAACACTGCGGTCCCAACAGCCAGCTGAGACCCTCTCATGTACAGGCTAGCTTAAGATAATCAGTAGGATGCGTTGACAAGGCCATTGGTGATTCACATTTTTTTTATAATGTATCAGTTGTCAAGGTCACAGGGTAACCTTAGCCTGGAAATGGTAAACTTTAAGAGACTAGATACCAGGCTATGTTAGCCTTGTGTTGCATCACCTTTGTCCTTGGCCTCAGTGGTTTTATTTCCCATAAGAAGTAGTAAAAGTTATTTTAGAATGACCGTAAGACAAGTTTGTCATCGTCGTCATCATGTGCTGTGGCGGTAAGTGTAGGCTGTCAGGTTTTGACATCTAACGTGATCACCAGAATCACAGATCAGGTGGGTGTTTTTGTCCCGCCCCATCCATAAGGTCAGGCCTTCTAGCTATTTATCTCTTTTCCTTCCTCTTGCTCTCTTTCCACCAATCTTGCCAGTTGTTGCCAAATTCTCAAGTAATTTTGTTTTCTCATAACATGTCCAAAAACGCTAAGACAGTTTAAGAGCTCTGTGTGTCTTAGTATGAGTTGTCGTGAACATCAAACTTTTCAGTTCTTTGTAGTCTTTGTCAGTTCCTCTTTGTTTCCACGAGTATCCCAGTGCTGCTGAGTTATCAAATCTTCAAGCCTGAGAACTCTGTTTATCCTGAGTTAACAGTAATTCTAGTCACAACAGAATTGGAAAAACCTAAATGTAAGAATGCTTTCACCTCTTGTTAGTTTGGAAAAACCTAAATGTAAGATTGCTTTCACCTCTTGTTAGTTTGGAAAAACCTAAATGTAAGATTGCTTTCACCTCTTGTTAGTTTGGAAAAACCTAAATGTAAGAATGCTTTCACCTCTTGTTAGTTTGGAAAAACCTAAATGTAAGAATGCTTTCACCTCTTGTTAGTTTGGAAAAACCTAAATGTAAGATTGCTTTCACCTCTTGTTAGTTTGGAAAAACCTAAATGTAAGAATGCTTTCACCTCTTGTTAGTTTGGAAAAACCTAAATGTAAGAATGCTTTCACCTCTTGTTAGTTAGGTGTTTAATTGAAATATTATCCTCATTGCACATTGGACAAGTCAATAAGCGCCCAGATCTCATCTTTAGTATCTCACACAGCGTTTGGCGACTGATAACTCCATTTCTGTGTTGGTTAACTATTCTTCTTTGGCTACCGTATAGTGTTTATGTTTGGCGGCACCTCTTATTGACCTAGAGTTCTTGTATCTTTTCAGGGATGCCAAATCGTTTTCTCCTGAATCATCTGCTCATCCTGCCTCCTTGAAAGCATTGAGAATGTTGGCCCGGTCCATTGTTTTTTCTGTACCTGCCAACAAGCCAGTCCACTCGTTCATTCTCTCTTACAAAAGAGTGTCCTGGCACAAAAAATCAAATTTCAATCAGGCGAGATGTCTTTAACAACTCCAGCCGTTTTCTTCGAATTCATTGTGTCTCTGTCCTCTTAAGCACGATCTTGAAGTCATTTAGAAAGCCGGCATGGGGAAAATGCTGTCTCTAGCCAAATCACTGCTTTTGTCACCGCCATTACCTCCACAGTCAGGCTACTTCTAGTCGACGCAAAAGATATATATGGGTGGTAAGCATACATTGGATCTTTTCTCCAGGCGATGCCGGCGTGGTGGGTAATGAACAGTCAGACAGATTGGCTGGATCTGCATCAGTGTGGTGAATTGATACATGACAAGGCACATGTGGTCAAGGCCCTTTGGGAACAAGCAACGGAATCAGTAGAGAAAGCAGATTATTATGGCCTGAAGAGAATGAGGCCCCTGGGTGTAACCAGAGGCTCTACACTCAGAGGAAAGGCAAGACAGACTTTTAACCAGATTGTGACCGGTACCATCAGTATTGAAACTCTGTGCTGGCTGCTGAAGATGAGGACGGAGCATGCATGGGAATGCCCCCGGAGTGCCGTGATGTCAATTCTTGACTCAACTCATTTATTTAAATATATTAAAGTTTTGCCTCGAACCAGAACCATGAAAGTTCTTGTTATAGTCTGCATAGTTCTCTAAAGTCGGGGATACTGTGGCTGTGGCTAAGACTGTAGTTAGATGGGGACATATGAAACAAAAATTAGGTGACAGTGAACACATACAAAATAAAAGAGGAGAGAAAAAAAGTGTAGAATAAAGCATTCATACGCATTTATTTCCCTCGAAGTCGGAGTACATCTGCCGGAGAGGCGGGGAACGAGAACTGCAAACAGATAAGCCAGTAAAACGGATGTACACGCAAAACTCAGGTCAAGGTAAAAGCCAAAAGTCTATTTGGACGAACAACTGCGGCTTACCGCCGGAATTCACAGCCGGTGAACAAGAAGAAGAAGAATACGCATTTATCATTTGTGAGACAGGTAAACTCACAGGGATTACATAATCTTCCATATTTATCATTCTGCCCCCCCCTCCCCCTCTCCCCCCCCCCCCCCCCCCGATTAGGTAACATAGATTTTCAGAGGAGGAAGGGAAAGGGGTTGTGTGATTCATTTGTCTTATATCCTTTAGTGTGTTCTGGGGACCCATTGTGGGGGGTTGGGGATAGATTGAAGAGAGAGATTGAAGCAAGAATCCAACAAGCCAACAATGTCGCATACCAGCTTGCCCCAATTTTAAAACACCCTGCTGTCCCAGCTGAGATAAAAAGACAAATTATAAATACAATCTTTATACCGACATTAGGTTATCAATGTCAGACTTGGACATTAACAAAAGAACATGATAGAAGACTAACCACCTGTGAAATGAGATGTTTGAGAATGGCTGCGAATAAAACCAGAAGAGATCGAGTGAGAAACGATATGATTACAAGAACTATTGGAACCATACCCATCGTTAAATTTATTGTGAAGCAAAGAATGAAATGGTTTGGTCACCTAATGAGAATGGAACCAACGATGCCAGCATCAAGAGCATACAACATGAAAATCGAAACAACAAGAGGCAGGGGAAGACCAAGAAGAAGATGGATTGAAGGAGTCACGGACAACTTGAGACTTCACGGCATATGAAGCGACTGAGCGCGCCCTGGCTCGGTTGCCGATCATCTGATAGACTGCGACGCCTAGCGGCACAAGCAGATTTTGACAAAAGAAGAAGAAGAAGGGGATAGACCTACTTCTTCACTAACAAGAATGTCGTAGGAGTCAACTAAATAAGGTTTTTTTTTCAAAGTCGGAGGGCTTTTTTCTGAGAGGAACCAAAAGTCTGTATACAGATAAAATAAGCCAGATGTGTAAAACGGGTACATTCTGGAACAAGATTAAAGTCCACGGCGGACAGTTTAGAAAAAGACTGCTTTTCTCATGGCTTTCCTACAGTGGTACAAGTCTTCTTCTTCTTGTGGTTAATATTGTGTGGCGATGGTAGTCGTGTCTATCCACAACCTTCTGTCACGTGTGCTCTCAGTCAAGTTCTGACAGAGATGATCTTCCATGCCATGATATTAAACTGCCCAGCATCGTCTCTCTCAGTTCTCCCTCTGCCTCTCTTCCCCTGCAGCTTTTCCACCGTCACGATGTACTCCAGTTTTCTCCTTTTCATAACATGACCAAAGAATGTAGACTATCCTTTTGATGCGGATAATCAGTTCCGAATAGACAATGTAGAGTGTCTCCTTTTGATGCGGATAATCAGTTCCGAATAGACAATGTGGACTGTCCCCTTTTGATGCGGATAATCAGTTCCGAATAGACAACGTAGACTGTCTCCTTTTGATGCGGATAATCAGTTCCGAATAGACAACGTAGACTGTCTCCTTTTGATGCAGATAATCAGAATTTTTCGCCAATCGTTTAAATGTCCATGATTCACTTTCGTAAATCAGGATAGGATTTATATAGCACTTGAGAATTATCTTTCTTGTCAAGACAAAGAAAGATTGTATGAGAGTTGCACTGTAGGAAAGATCAGGAGTCTCACCTTGAAATATTAAAAACAATAGATTCGCTTGTCCATGCCAGCCACATTGTGGAGTTGGTTGCCCTTGTAACACATAGCTAACACCCACATGTGACTGAAGGTTTCTTAGTATGGTGCCTTACTATGTGGGTTCTAGGGACCCACTGTATGGGGGGGGGGGGCAAGAATAGACCCACTGCCTTACCCAGGCATGTCGCAGAAGTCAACTAATTGTGGGACATCCTTTAAAGTCAAGAGTACATCTGCATGAGAGGCAGCGAACCAAGAGTCTTCATACAAATGAGCCAGATCTGTAAAACAGGTGCAGGCAACACTAAGGTTCTGGAATGAGACTAAAGTTTACAGCCAGTGAACACACAAAAATAAGTTGCCGCAGTATAACTGTTATACGATTAACCAGGATTTCTGAGATTTGCTCAGGTTTCAATTCTTATCCATCTCTGTGAGGGTTCCAGAGCCCAATTTGGGGGAAAACAAGAATAGACCCACTGCCTCCCCATCAAGCATGACGTAGGAGTCAACTAATTGGGGGCTTACTTTGAAGTCGAATTGCATCTGCCCGAGTGGCAAAGAACAACAAACTACACACAAATAAGCCAGTTAGACGGATGTACTCGCAAAACTTGGGGCCCCTGGCGCAAAGCCAGAATCCGAAGGGGCGAACAACCAGGACTTTCTGCGGGAACTTACAACTGTGAAGAAAAAAGAAGAGGATTCTAATCCATAAGATATTAATTCTACAGACTGCAATCCTAAAAAAAAAATATAGAAATATAAAATAAACTATCAAATTTTTTTTAAATGTTCTGATTTCAGTGGCAAAATCACATCACCGAAGTGGAAGCAGTTTCGGGGCTTGCATTTATCCCAGAAGCAGCGCATCCGCCTGAACAATCTCATTTGGAGAGAGTGGCACATGCAGTGTAAGTTGCTGTTTAGGGATTAAGATTACTGTTATCATCATCATCAATTCTCTTTATGCCTAGTGGCACATGAGGCTTCAGAGAGAACTTTCCATGCTTTCCTGTCCTGTGCAATCTTCAATGCAGTTTTCCATGTCAGAGATACCACACTCAGGTCACTTTCCATCATCCGTCTCCATGTTGTTTTTGGGCAACCCCTTTTTTCTCTTTCCCTTTTGTATCCATGTGAGAGCTGTTTTGGCCGGTATATCAGGTTTAATTCCCATAACGTGGCCAAGCCATTTCCATTGTCTCTTGGTTATCATACTGTCTAGAGTTTCTTGGTTTGGGACTTGAAGTAGCTTAGTGTTTTCTGGCCAGAAAATTTTGATAATCCTACGTAGACATGTGTGGTGAAAGGGGGATAGCTTGTGTGAATCCTTTTTGGTCAAAAGATTACTGTTATAACATTTGTTGAATAATGGAAAGATTGGAAATACTCGTCATTTAACTGTGGAATTGATAATATTAGGGTGCAGACTCAGTTATTTGTTTCCCCTTAAGGCCCTGGTAACACATGAGTGGGATAATAACACACTTTTGATTTTGTTAGGTCAGATATGACTGAGCTACCATTTACAGTAGCCAATACCACCTGTCTCCTGTTGCGCTGAATTTTGGGCAGCTTATACCAAACCTGTCATCCCATATTGTGCCATCAGCTTCAGGCAGAGGAGTGCATTGGGGAGGATATCAGCCTTATCCTAGGAAGAGGAGTGCATTGGGGAGGATATCAGCCTTATCCTAGGAAGAGGAGTGCATTGGGGAGGATATCAGCCTTATCCTAGGAAGAGGAGTGCATTGGGGAGGATATCAGCCTTATCCTAGGAAGAGGAAATGCAATCTGAAAACTGTATGTTATGGCAGGGCAGACCAAGCCCTTAGCCTTGGCTGGCAGCTGGTCTAGGAGGGAAGCTCTGACAGGCAGGCAGACAGAGCACTGCTCTTTTGATCCAGCAGCTTCTGCAGCCTGCTTTGTTTCAAACACACTGTGTTACCTTTCCTTTGGAGTAAACAAGGCATGTCAAGAGAGAGACAGATCATGAAGCATGGGCAACATATAGTCTGTACAATACTGCCCAGGCTTTGTGCTATGGAGAGGGCACCTGGCATTAAGTGGTGGGACAAGATCACAAACATAGGTATTGGAAAGAGCTGGTATTACAACAGTCTTCTCAATGCTCAGTCTACAAAGGATACCTGGAACTACAACTGGAAAGAAAAGGCCAATCACAGGGATGAATGGAAGCAGGTGATATCTACAGCAGTATGTATGGATAGTTTAAGAGCTGAACATCTGAGAAGAGATATGTCTTATACATGTGATGGCCTCAGTGATCCCGCAATCTCATGTACTTATTGTGTAAGAATCTTCTTGAGATTCTGGTCTTGGTATCCCACTCGTCATTATGACGTGGCTAGAGATACAAAATTTCTCCCATGCAAGCTTTCTTAGTGATTCCGTGAGCATGCTTAAGAAGATAGAGACAGGGTGGATTCAAAGAAAAGGGTTGGAGAAGTCTTGTTTGATAGGAATTCATTTCATTTTTATGCCAGGACATCCTGGGGTAAGAGGGAATGAACGAGCAGATTGGCTTGCTAGCAGAACCTCGCTAGGTACAGGAAAAGCACAGGAACCAGACTGAAATTCTCAGCGCTCTCTAGGAGGCGGGACGAGAAGATGGTTCAGGAGACAAGACAACATTGAATTGGCAACACTATAAGACTACAGAAATTTGAGGTCCAAAGAGATGTCGTTAAACATGAACACTGTACAGTTCACCAAATAAAAAGAAGAAGAATGAACCAACACAGAAGTGGTGTTATCAGTCGCCACACACTGAAAGATATACTGAAGATGGGATCCGAGCGCTTATGGACTTGTTTGATGTGTAGTGAGGATAATCTTTCGATTAGCTAACTTGTCTCCACCATGTCACCATATATGTTGTTTCCCTGCATCCCTATAGAACAGTGGTCTCCACCATGTCACCATATGTGTTATTTCCCTGCATCCCTATAGAACAGTGGTCTCCACCATGTCACCATATGTGTTATTTCCCTGCATCCCTATAGAACAGTGGTCTCCACCATGCGCCCTCTCCTAGGAGGGGGGGGGGGCAGGGCATCGTACAATTTTAAGAGGATGTCAAGCATTTTGTCAAAATTTGAAATTTGCGTGCATTTGTACTTGTAATCTGGTTTTTCAGCTTAAATGGTCTTGAAAAAAAAGTGCTTTTAGCTTGGAGAGGAAATACAATCTGACATTTTTTTTTTTAATGACAGGAAGAGGAAATGCAATCTGAAAACAATATTTTATGGCTAGGTAGCCTGTAGGTAGCTGTGAAGCAACATATGGGCCATGCCCAATAGACCTGACAGCTAAGCTCTGGTGAAACTTAAGAGACCTTGAAATGACATCTCAGTTTATGATCCACAGTGGATTAAGTGCAGAACCAGAGGTCGCTGGAGAAGAAGATATTCCAGATACGTTGAGAAAAGTAAAATATGTTTTGATAATTATATTTCAGACATCTATGGGAAAAATCCAATGGTTTGTCAGTTTGCAACTCCATTGTCAGATCACATTCATTCAAAGCCAGAGGTGAGTTTATTAGATCCCATTTTGTTGTTGATGCCCAAAAATCCCATGTGGATTTGTGACCCCTCTTTGATGCTGGGGCTCCTATCTGTTGTGGGGGGGGGGGGGGGTGAAAAGAATATACCCCTTTCACTTAAAAAAGCAAATAATAAAAGTTGACTAATTTAGAATTTGCTGAAATCTGATGTGTTTCGTAGCAAAAGCAAGTGGAAAATCTTTAGTGTGAGGCCACCTGGTATACGACACCACAACATCTAGCATAAGAATGGAGGTGGGGGAGGTAACTGCAGCTTTCCGGTGGCTAGAGAACAAGATGCATACATATGTCATAATTGTAAAAGACTGAAAGAATGCTGAGAAAGCTGAAGACAGGGATGCTTTGAGCAGAAAGTGGCGAGCTTTACTGGAGCGGTCACGGGTAGTGAGCATACTTTAGATCTTTTCTCCAGGCAGTGCCGGCAGGGTGGGTAATTGAATTAAGTCCCCCTGAAAATGTGGGTGTACAGAATTGGTCATATTTCATGAAAACAAAAAACAATCCAAACAGAGGTTCTGGAAAAACTACAGATGAGACAGTTGAAATACTTCAGCCACATTAAAAGACATAACACACTTTTAAAAAACCATACTGGAGGGAAAGATCAAAGGCAAAGAGCAAGAGGTGGGCAACGATATGAGTGGGAGGGTAGCATCAAGAGATGGATGGGCAGCAGTCTGAGAGAGTATACAACCAAGACAAGGGACAGAGCGTGTTGGAGATCCATGGCAGCCAACCTTCGTTGGGGAGACGGCACCTTATTGATTGATTTCATATCTGAACCGTATGCCTGTCTACAGCTGTTTGGTTTAAAGTCTACTTTTGGTATTATGTTATTGTAATTGTAATATCTACGTCTGCCTTAAGGTCTACTTTTTTTGGGTAATGTGAATAAAAATGAGAAGTAAAACTAGTTAGTTCCACAATACTGCACTTTTAAAGACACAATGCATTTTGCAGCTAAAAAGCCTTCATCAGCAGAAGCAGATAGTGGTATCATTAAAAACCTCTTAGACTCCATGCCGTGTGGTGTTGGAAGTCATATTTCTTCGGCCTCCCAGATTTCCCTGAATAATTTGTCTAGCATATCCGTACATGTCTGTATATTGGCCTTAATAACTTTTGCTGGAATACCATCTGGCCTACCGCTTTCCCTTCCTTCAATAGACTGATAGCTTTCCAAATTTTCTCTTGTTTTGTCATGTTTTGCTGCTTCTCTGGGCAACATAGCTGTTTTTACTATCAGACAAGATCCTGAACACCTTCACAGTATGATTGCATACCTAATGCTAGGCATCACTGTTGTTCTTCTTCTTTGCTTTCACCGGCTTTAAACTCCGGTGGAAAGTTCTGGTTGTTCATCCACTTCTGGACTCTAGCCTCATTCCAGACTCTGAAAGTTGCTTGCACATCCATTTCACAGGTCTGACTCATTTATATGCAGACTGTTGGTTCCTTGCCTCTCAGGCAGATGTACTCCGAATTCAAAGGAAGCTCCCAGTTAGTCGACTCCTACAACATTCTTTTGGGCAGGCAGTGGGTCTATTCTTGTTTTGCCCACAGTGGGGCCCTGGAACCCACACAGGGAGGTTATTGTTATTCTTTTAGATTCTTTTTTTTTTTTCTTTTTTGAATTGATTTGTTACATCCATTTGAGCACAGCCTACTTGTCTACTAATAACCAACACTCATAGCTAAATTACATGCATGGTATTCACTGTATATTCATGTTGTGGTCGCATCTTTAGATCTTTGTCTAGTTTTGAACTGCCCCAGAGTTTAGTCTTTTTCTCCATCTAATTGGCCTTGGGCTTTTGGGTTGCATGTGTCTGTTTTCTGAGTGGCCTGTTATGACACTGAACTTTAACCTCAAACAGGGTCAGGACAGTCATCTGTTTGGGTAATCATGTTTCAGTATTACATTTCTGACAGACTTAGAGTCAGCTGTTTAGATGTTAGAGTATATCTTAAACTGTTAGCCTAAAGTCTGTTGTTTTTACTAAGAATGTGTTAACAGTAGTATCTGTAATTGACAGAGCTTATTAAACATAAGTGGTCGAGCATGTGCAGTAACACTTAAGTTAACTTTCACTTGTTTAACCGCCAGTTTCTGTTACCCTTCGTAGTCTAAAAAGGGTAAGTTCTTAAACAGAAAACCTACAGCTAGTCACTCAGAAGCAGAAACAATGTTATCACAGGGCATCGACTGGCTTAAAATGCCAGAGGAGGTAGATGCAACATAGATCCCACTCCTGTGTAAGATATGGAGCATTGCCGCAGAGAAAGCTTGAGACCCAAAGACATAGCAGAAGGAGATGACATATTATTTCAAAGTAACACAGGTTTCTAGTGTTACAATACATTTCTGTAGATTACTGCTCTTATATTAGGTTTATATTGATCGTTTTATAACATTAAACACAATAAGTAAAGTGACTGACCCTTTTCCACGCCTTCGTGTGTATGAGCAAATAGGGCTAGACCTATATTTTATAAACCAGTCGGCACTCAGTGGGTGATGTGGTCAGCATCACGCCGACTGCTTTTACTTCTCAGGACTATACCTGGTACCCCCTCAAGGCTGGGTTGACCTGGGAACCAAGGTCATTTTTGAAAATGTCTGGCTTCGTCAAACCCACAACTTTTCAATAAATTTAGTATTTATTCACTTTTAAAGGATTTTATTTTAATTTTCATGCCAAGTCCGCAGTGAAATCGCAAATGTGTACATATGTATTAAAAGATAAATGTTATATGTCTATTCGGTTATCCTTCACAACCCATGTCTGGACAGAGATGGTTAATCTATAAAAATATAGGTATAGTCCTATATGCCTAAAGGTGTGGAAAAAAAGACCGTTACCTTACTTTTACATTTTGCTTTCAGGCTGTGGTTTTAGAGGGCAAGTACTGGAAGAGACAGCTAGATGCTGTAACCGCCGAATACAAGAAGTGGCGTCGCTACTTCAGGGAGAGGGTGAGGCAGCTACCTCACTTCAACTTTCAGGAGAATATGGCCCTCAGCGAGTGGGAGCTGCTGGAGAGAGTCAAGGATGTGACCTTCATCCCTCACAGCTCGGGAAGCTATGTTTCCAGCACAGACCTGAACCTGCTGCAGGCAGATATCACTGATATGGACTTTACCAGCGAGCTCTTCGCAAGTTTGAATCAGCCATTTGCATTTCCAAACCCTAGAGAACTGAGTAAGTGAGAAATATTATCTGTTCTTCTGTCCTTTATCGCTAATGTAACACAGGTACTTAACCAAGCTGCCCCATTTGCTTCCCATTCTTTTCTTAAAAGCTCCTAATATTAATACTATTTCCTCAGAAAAATTCTTAGAATACTGTAGACCGGGAAGAAGACAAACGCTGATATATTACATTAGGGCTGTTCAACTGGCAGCCCAAAGCTGCTAACTGTACTGTATTAATGATCTTTCTATGCTGGGGTTCAGGCCACTGGCCTGCAACTGTTCCCATTTTCCATCATTTTGGTCCCTGAGTCAGTTTAGTTGAATGGTCCTGTCCTGCATAATCTGAGCATTTAGGAGAATTGGCTCATAAACAGCATCCTGCTCCAGAAGCTGAGGCATTTTGGCCGTGTTAAATGTCTTGGTGATCTGGAGAGAACGACGATGGAGGGGGCAGTTTCCTAAAAATGAGACAGAGGCAGACCTCAATGAAAGTGGATTAAGGATTAATGTGGTAATTCTCCATTGTTTTCCACATTCGCATGGCTTTAGACTACGTCCTCAGCCTTCAGCAACCTTTTTGATTGAGTGTCCTGCTCTATGATGCTCCTGCTAACAGCAGAGGGCACCCCACAGGTGTCTACTTATTCGGGCGGAGACTTGGTCACTCTAGCTGCCCTGGCCACACTGCAGTGTGTTTACCACCCTCTATCGCGTGTTGTAATACTTGCTCATTCCAGTACCTCAGGGTTTGTGATCTTGTCCTGCCATTTAATGCCAAATATTCTTCTCACTCATGCATACACATTTACTTATACCTTGATTGCTTGTTTCTCTCAGGTCAGCTGGGCTATGCCGACTTCATCCAGCCGGGTCTGATCCAGTTACAGCCCAACCTGGAGGAGTTCATGGATATTGACACCATGCAAGGTGACACATTTTATCTTCTTGTCTGAGTCTCCTTTATACATGTTTGACCCTTTACTTCATAATTTTATTCTCTAGTCTGAGTTGACTTCATACATGTTTGATCCTCCACTTCATCATTTTATCTTCTTGTCTGGGTTGACTTCATACATGTTTGACCCTTCACTTTAGAATTTTATCTTCTAGCCTGAGTCGACTTCATACATGTTTGACCCTTTACTTCATAATTTTAACTTCTAATCTGAGTCGACTTCATACATGTTTGACCCTTCACTTCATAATTTTATTCTCTAGTCTGAGTTGACTTCATACATGTTTGACCCTTCACTCCATAATTTTATTCTCTAGTCTGAGTTAACTTCATACATGTTTGATCATTTACTTCATCATTTCATCTTCTAGTCTGAGTCGACTTCATACATGTTTGACCCTTCACTTCATAATTTCATCTTCTAGTCTGAGTTGACTTTCCTACATCTTTGACCCTTCACTTCAAAATTTTATTCTGTAGTCTGAGTTGACTTCATACATCTTTGACCCTTCACTTCATAATTTCATCTTCTAGTCTGAGTTGAGTTCGTACATGTTTAACCCTTCACTTCATAATTTCATCTAGTATGTGTCGACTTCATACATGTTTGACCCCTTGTCTTCCTCTTACTTTCTTCTGCTTAGCTTTTTAGCTTTCTCTTGTCTTCTTCTGCCTTTGGAACTTCCAGTGGCGCATAAGCCCTCAACCAACTCACGCCAAGTCATTCTGTCCTTTGCTATCGCATGCAGCTCCCCCCTCCCCCATGTTCTCCCCATCTTTTTTAATCTGTCTCTAGCTCCCTTCTTCTTGTGCTTTTCAGTTTGTCTTTATTTCTATACCCATGTGGGTTCCATTGCACAGACATTCTAGTTATATTGTTCTCAGATTTTTTCAACGTGTGTCCTATCCAACAGCAGCATTTTTTTCACCTCTTGGTCCACTGGAACTTGTTTTGTTCTCTCCCAAAGATCTACATTAGTGATTCTATCGTACCATATAATTGCCCCTATTCTGCAAAGGCACCAGTTAACGAATGTTTGTAGTTTATCAGTAATTGTCTTAGTTCTCCATGTTTTTACTCCATACAACGGTACTGATTTGACATTATGGATTTTCAGACCTAGCCGTTGTGATCTTGCATCAAGTATATTTAATTTACCTAGCATCTGATTATATGAGTGGGATAGAAGAGAAATATCATCAGCGAAGTCCAGATCATTAAGCTGTTTTATAGAAGACAAAAAGAAATCCCTGTTGCACACCTATTTTTATTTCAGATGTATCTGTTAGCTTTCCCTCATAAAGAATCGGTTTCATTCATGTTTGACCGTTCGCTTCGTCATTTCATCTTCTAGTCTGAATCAGCTTCATACATGTTTGACCTTTCACTTCGTCATTTCATCTTCTAGTCTGAATCAGCTTCATACATGTTTGACCTTTCACTTCATCATTTCATCTTCTAGTTTGAATCAGCTTCATACATGTTTGACCTTTTGTCGTCTTCTTATCCTTCTTCTGCTTAACATTTACTGGTTGTAAAGTCAGGCAGATGTTTCTGGCTGTTTATCCATTTCTGGACTTTGGTCTTGTTCCAGAATTTGAGTTTTGCACGCCTGTACATTTGGTAGATTTGGCCTATTTGCAGTAGTTTGTCTTTGAAGGAAACACCCCTAATTAGTCACCTTTTATGACATGCTTGTTAGGGGGTCAGCGGGTCTTGTTCCAGAATTTGAGTTTTGTGTGTCTGTACATTTGGTAAGTAAAAAGTAAAGGACCCTTTTCCACGCCTTTAGGCGTATAGGGCAAATAGAGCTAGACCTATATTTTTATAGACCAACGGCACAAGATGGGTGATGTGGTCAGCAACACGACGGCCGCCTCTACTTCCCGAGACTGCACCCGGTACCCACTCAAGGCTGGGTCGACCTGGGAGCAGGACTTGGTTTTTGAAGGAAACGCCCCTAATTAGTCATCTTTTACGACATGCTTGTTAGAGGGTCAGTGGGTTGATTTTTCTCCCCCCAAAATGGGGTCCTGGAACCCACAGGGTTGTCCTCCTTCTAATAGTCTAAATAAATGGTGTGCCTTCTACATAGAGACAGTTGGCTGTAGTGTAACCACTACTTCTCCTTCTGATAGTCAAAATAAATGGTGTGCCTTCTACATAGAGACAGTTGGCTGTAGTGTAACCACTACTTCTCCTTCTGATAGTCTAAATAAATGGTGTGCCTTCTACATAGAGACAGTTGGCTGTAGTGTAACCACTACTTCTTCTGATAGTCTAAATAAATGGTGTGCCTTCTACATAGAGACAGTTGGCTGTAGTGTAACCACTACTTCTCCTTCTGATAGTCTAAATAAATGGTGTGCCTTCTACATAGAGACAGTTGGCTGTAGTGTAACCACTACTTCTCCTTCTGATAGTCTAAATAAATGGTGTGCCTTCTACATAGAGACAGTTGGCTGTAGTGTAACCACTACTTCTCCTTCTGATAGTCTAAATAAATGGTGTGCCTTCTACATAGAGACAGTTGGCTGTAGTGTAACCACTACTTCTCCTTCTGATAGTCTAAATAAATGGTGTGCCTTCTACATAGAGACAGTTGGCTGTAGTGTAACCACTACTTCTTCTGATAGTCTAAATAAATGGTGTGCCTTCTACATAGAGACAGTTGGCTGTAGTGTAACCACTACTTCTCCTTCTGATAGTCTAAATAAATGGTGTGCCTTCTACATAGAGACAGTTGGCTGTAGTGTAACCACTACTTCTTCTGATAGTCTAAATAAATGGTGTGCCTTCTACATAGAGACAGTTGGCTGTAGTGTAACCACTACTTCTTCTGATAGTCTAAATAAATGGTGTGCCTTCTACATAGAGACAGTTGGCTGTAGTGTAACCACTACTTCTTCTGATAGTCTAAATAAATGGTGTGCCTTCTACATAGAGACAGTTGGCTGTAGTGTAACCACTACTTCTTCTGATAGTCTAAATAAATGGTGTGCCTTCTACATAGAGACAGTTGGCTGTAGTGTAACCACTACTTCTCCTTCTGATAGTCTAAATAAATGGTGTGCCTTCTACATAGAGAAAGTTGGCTGTAGTGTAACCACTACTTCTCCTTCTGATAGTCTAAATAAATGGTGTGCCTTCTACATAGAGACAGTTGGCTGTAGTGTAACCACTACTTCTCCTTCTGATAGTCTAAATAAATGGTGTGCCTTCTACATAGAGACAGTTGGCTGTAGTGTAACCACTACTTCTCCTTCTGATAGTCTAAATAAATGGTGTGCCTTCTACATAGAGAAAGTTGGCTGTAGTGTAACCACTACTTCTTCTTTTCTCCTTCTCTTCTGTTCATGTTTTGCCTTTCACCCCCAGGTTTTGAAGAAACACCAGGTGCTCACCTTGGTATGTGCTTCGTAGATGCTGATATTTACAACCTCGGATATTCTGTCTGTCTATCCTTTGCATGGTCGACCACAGTTTTGCTTGCATTATGTCTAAGTGCAGGACTCTCTAGTGCACTACATAGTGGTAGTCTTGACACATGTGCAAATCATTTGATCTGTTGTCTCTTGATGTAGTTCAGTGCGGGTTTCTTCCCAGGCTTTTCCCTGAAATCATAATTTCTGATCCTGTCCATTCTAGCTACATTTAGAATTTGTCACAGACATTTTGTTTTTGTGTGGTTATTTTTGCTTTCATCGTTAACGTCCACATTAGTAGCCACTGTGAGGATTCTATGTGGTGAGCTCCCCACTCTCTTCCAAAGTGCACTCTTCTACTACTGTCCAAACCTGCAAGAGGTTTTAAAGGGGAAAAAAAATCACCCGTCTGGGGAATGGACCCCTGGTGCTCTTATTCTTCTTCAGAGATCTCTGCTCATACGCTTAATCCACTGTGGGCAACAAACTGGGCTGTCATCTCAATCTCTTAGGTTTCACCAAAGCTTAGTTATTAGTTCTACTGGGCATGGCAACTTGACATTTCGTAGCTCCTCCAAAAAAGGACAGTCTTGCAAGACAGCTTCTGGAGTTTGTTCAGCATGAAGACCCTGAAAGATGACAGACAGCTGTTTGTTTGGTTTATAACTTATTTATATTGTGCTTGTTGAGTCTGCAGTGTTTAGTGCATATGTGAAGGGTTGGTTTATACCTAATTTATATCGTGCTTGTTGAGTCTGCAGTGTTTAGTGCATATGTGAAGGTTTGGTTTATACCTAATTTATATCAGTGCTTGTTGAGTCTGCAGTGTTTAGTGCATATGCAAAGGATTTGGTCTGTTCTGTTCAGATTATTTAAGAAATATTTGTCATGGTTATAACCTGTGTTGTTTTCCAATGTTTCTGTTCTTTGTTCTCCAAACTGGAGCCCCAGACCCCATACAGGGAGTAATTCTATTGATCCTATGAGATAAAGAACCATGTCAGTCAGTAGCCTGGTCGCCTGTCCTTTGCAGAACCTTGCTCCCACAACAACCTTCCGGAAAACTTCTTGGTCACAAGCAAGATGTCCTGCGACCGATACACACATCTGGCACATCCTGCACCCATCTTCTTTTTGGCCTTCCTCTTCCTCTCTTTGCAGGCATTTAAAGTAAAAAAAGTAAATAACCCTTTGCCTCGCCTTTAGGCATATAGGGCTAGACATATATTTTTTATAGACCTATTGGCACAAGATGGGTGATGTGGTCAGCATCACGCCGGCCGCCTTTACTTTCCGGGATTGCACCTGGTACCCACTGAAGGCTGGGTCGACCTGGGAGCCAAGGTCATTTCCAGGCATATACCCCTCCATTATTGTTCTCTCTCAAATTTCCCGACGTTTCAAGTGGCAAAAATATTTCAATTTTCTGTGCTTTGTCGTCTTTAATGGCCAACCTTTTTCAGTTTTCAGTAATAAGTTCTTGAACTGAATATTGAACTGAACAGAACCATGACCGCTGCTTATATGCATTAGCCTGGAAGTTGATAATGATTTTACTGGGCATGTTATTGCTTATTTCACTATATTAGAATACATTCTTCTTCTACAGTTGCCGTTAAAAGGGCAGCTGGCACATTGTGCTGTGATTTACAGCTAGGCTGCGATATCTACATCTTTTAGTCCAACACGTCTGATTTTTATGGCATGCTGTGGCAGTGTGTCGATTTACATCCCCACATGATTTAGTATTTAGTATGTAAAAATGTAAATTGTTTGGTCAGCTATAATTTAACAAATGCTGGTATAATTTCAGAGTGGTTTGGTTCAAAGATGCCTTCTGCATTTTCCGCCGCATTTTCCTCTGCATTTTCCTCTGCATTCACACCTGAGCCCTCGCCTCCTGCTGCTGAATCAAGTCTGGTAAGAGTTTTCTCAGTATGTATTTGTGCTGGGGCTTAGAGGTAGTAAATGTGTTTCACTATCATTAAAACACCAGGTCCCCCCCCCCCCCCCCAAGGTGGTTGGTTAAAAAAGGTTTGTGCCTTTCGTTCAGTAGTACTAGAGGGGTGCCATGAAAGAGGTTAGTTAGTCTCACCACAGAATATTCCCAAAAACAGCATTGGACGCCCATATGCACTTTAGCCAGCCTTCGTGGTGGGGACAGCACACAATTATTTATTATATCTGTTAATCTTTAAGATCCATTGAAGAAAAAAGCCCAATGCCTGAGAATTCTCCCCCCCCCCCCTTTCCCTCCCCTTTCCCCCAACTCCCATATGTTTAAAAAAAATACAGGTTACTAATAAATGTAAAAAAAAAATCTCTAAAGAAATATATTATTGGAAGTAATCATTAAAAATAAACACAGCAAAAACAAAAATGATTGATCTTACCAATAGTTCAGATGAAATTAAACTAAACAATCACATTATGGGAAAAATCAACAGCTTTACATATCTAGGGAGTAAGATGACATCTATAGGGATCTCAGCACCAGGAATTTCATTTAGAATTGCACTGGCATCTAGTGCTTTTAACAAACTGTCAAACCTCTGGAAGTCAAAGACACTCAGAAAACACATAAAACTCAAGAACTTCGACTCTTGTGTGATTCTAGTACTAGCTTATGGATGTGAGAATCGGAAAGCTGTAGATAAAAAAATAAACAAATGAGACAATTTTGAGAACAAATGTCCTAAAAGATGACCAAATCTCCACTGGACAGATTTCAGATCCAATACGCAAATAAGACAAGAGACCAAGCAAGATAATGTATCCAATTTATAAGAAGGCGCTGGAACTATATTGGTCGTGCACTCAGATTAGATATGACAAGAGTCCCCCATCAAGCCCTCATATGGTCACCGGAAGTCAAAAGAAAATGCGGAAGACCATGAGAGACCTTACATAGAACCATCATCAAGGAAGGCTCAACCATGGGCCTAATGAACATCCAAGACCTAAAACAGGTGACAGTGAACCGCCAGACATGGAGAGCTATGATCTTTGCCCTATGCGCCGCATAGGCTAAAGTGGAAAGACTAACTAAACAGTGAACATGAACAGAGCTGAGAATGAAACTACTACAGTTCCTTGGGTCTAAACAAAAATAATTCATACAATGAATCATATCCTGACCCGGATTACTAAGATAAAAGACTGGTTTCCATATTCATAAGAGTATTGGATAAAGAGCGCGAAACCTGTATTTCAAAGGCCAGTTTTATAGCCCAATCTGCACTCAGCGGGTGATATGATCAACATCCCGCTAGCCAACTTCCCAGGACTTTACCTGGTACCTGTTTTAGGCTAAGTCAGCCTGGGAACCAAGATTATTTTTGAGAAAACCCAGCTTGATGCAAGTTTGAACTCACGACCTTTGAGCCTGAGGGAACATCTAGCAGTAGGAACTACCCCACAGTGGTTTCCAGATTACTCAAAGTTAAGAAAGAATTATGAGGACATCTTGGTTTAAAAGGCCTAGACTAAAGTCTCCCCCCCCCCCCTTTCCACCACCACCATGGTGCTGTTTTTAGTAAATATAATCATATTTGCACAAGTGCAAACAAACCCAGTTACATTAACTAGGCTTGTTGCATGCTGGCCAGAGCAGAGCAATGCTGGTTAAGCAGAGGATTTGTAACAGAAGGAAATGTTGGGTTCGCTGTGTCATCGGGTGAGAAGATATGTGAAGATTCACAGCCATATGTTAAAACTGGCTCTTTATGGCATGCATTGGGGGGGGGGGGGGCTGCGTAGTCTCGAGGCATGGTGTCCACCTCGAGTGCTAGAGGCCTCAGTGAGGGCTGGGATTTTTTCACGTGGATTTCTAGTAATTTTCCTCTGGTCTCTGGGTAGTAAGACTGGATGCCCATGTGTATTGTCGCGCATGTAAAAAATCCCTTTGTGGCCTAACGTTAAAAATCTACCCAAGCATTTTCAGGATCCTCGCTGGTGCAACAGAGCCTGTGTGCTGCGCTGAGATTCTTCTGACTCAGGCTTGAGTTAGAAGAAGAATATAGCACTTATGGGTTACACCTGTGTGCCATGATGTTGATCCATCGAATAAGCAGTAAAGCATGCAATAATTTTTATATATCCTCTAGTGACAGACTTATTGCACCAAACAACGGCCTTTAACTATTTGAGTCCCAGGGGGTTTAGCATCACTGGCCCAAGGGGTAGTCAAGAGAGACGTAAAATCGGCGCATCTTGCGTTCATTTTGCTTGTAGGTAGGAATTTATGAACGTATGATGCGTTCCTTGGGACTCAAAGAGTTAAATGGTGAGATTAGTTTGTGACCTTCAGGCAAACTATGTCAAATTGCAGTGCTATATAAAATTGTAACCCTTTTTTTTGTATTTATAATTTTGTTGCTTATGTATAACAGGGAAATATTCAGAGCTCAGACATGTCCCTTGAAAATTTCCTCCGGGGTTCATCTGTTGCTGTTTCAAATGCCAACATCATACCGGCAGACGTCTCCAGCTCTCCTGCCTCAGCAGTCCTATGTGACGACAGCCGAGTTTCCTTCCTCACAGACAACGTGGAACCTGCCCATAACATTACGTTGCAGCTGACCCCTAGCGGTCATTACCAACTGGACAATGCAACAGTCCTCCTGGGCAACACACTGCCACAAGGCCTTTCACAGACCTTTACACTCGTGCCATATGGACATCTTTCTCAACAGCCTAGTATGCACGTTAGTCCTACACAAAAACCTGTTGTTACCCCCACTGCGTTTTCAGCGTCTGAACTGCTTAACCAGTTGTTTGAACAGCAGCTGCATCAGCCTTTTGATGTCGTGTTGGCATCCAGAAAGAACTCTCCTCAGCAGTCGCCAGTGCCAATACAGCCTGCTCCGTCATTAAGTCAGCAACTGCGACAACACATTTTCCAGCCCAACATCTCTCCTCAGAATCCAGTTCTCACACAGTCGTCGTCTTTTCAGCAGCAGCAACAACAGCAACAGCAGCAACAACAACAGCAACAGCGGCAACAACAACAGCAGCACCATCATCAGTCTCATGTTGTTGCTCAGGCAACAAATCATTCACAGACAAAGTCCAAAGTTTTAAACAAAATGAGTAGGCATTCACCGGATAGTGGCATTAGAACCAGTGCACCGAGTTCAGGATCACAGAAAGAAATAGCCTCAAGCAGTGGCAGGAAAAAGGATGGACCTTTTATAGTTCCTTCAGCTCCTACGGTAAAATTAAGTTGTTTTTGTGTGTGCCTGTGTGTTGTTTAAAAGTGATTGAGCCTGTTGACTCAAGCTCTGAAAGTCAGGAATTTAATTTCAGGGCATAACTGGATTTAATAAACAACCAACAACCTTTAAACTACCTGGCTAGGACAAATTATGAATGCAGCCGTCCTACCAACCTTTTGCTGTCACACCACAGCATACTGGGCAACGGAGCGTACCCTAGCTCACAAACTGATCAACTGTTAACCTGTGACACCTTGCAGCACAAAGCAGAATGTGGACCATAAAATAAAGTTGGGGGGGTCTACATGTGGCAGAGTGGTTAAGACATTTGCCTCATGCAGTGAAGGTTGCAGGTTCATGTCATGGATTGCAGTGTTGGGGTCATGGGTGCAGATATTCAGAGATCACAGGAGATCATTTCTCGAGCTTCCCATGTGGGTTTTGGGGTTGTGTTATCGGGAAAACATCTATAGACCCACGGCCTCCCTAACAAACATGATGTAAGAGTCGACTAATTAGGGGTTTCCTTCAAAGTTGAGGGGCAGGGAACCAGCAGTCTGCTTATATATTTAAAAAAAAAAGGCCAGATCTGTAAAACGGATGTTCACACAATACTCAAGTTCTGGAGCCACACAAACAGCTAAAACTTTCTGCTGGAGTTTGCAGTCGGCGAACGCAGAGAAGAAGAAGATTTACCAAGCTTCCACATATGGGGTTCTGGGGCCCTATTTGGGGAGGTGGGGGGGGGGGGGAATTGACCTACTACCCCCTAACAGGCATGTAGTACAGAGGGATTAATTAGGGAAGTTTTCTTCGAAGCCTCTGCCTAAGAGGAGAGGAGCCAACAGACTGCATACGGATTTCAGTCTCAGCTTGTTGTTTTTTTCTTCATGAGTGCAGTTGATGAGGTCTCTAGGGGTTGTTGCTGAAGCTGTGGAGTTTCATGTTTCAGGTGATTCTCTCTGTGGGTAAACTCTTCCACGAAATCTTCTTAGTGTCCGGTTGATCGTCCATTTATTGACTTTAGTCATGTTCCGAAACTTGAATTTTGTTTGCACTTCTGTTTTACAGATCTGACTTATCTATATGCAGACTGTTGGTTCCTGGCAGCTCAGGCAGATGTGATTCAGTTTAGAGGGGAATTCTGAAGTCAACTTTAATGACGTCATTGTTAGGGAGACAGTGGGTCTGCCCCCACCCCCCACCCCCTCCCCACCCGCAGAGGACCATAGAACCCACACCAGGATCTCTGCGAAATGAACTAGTTTTATTTTCAAAAGGTCACAAACTGGGCCCATCTTGTATTCTTGTATTCCAGTCCCTAAGTTTTTGTCATAATCATTCTATTTATGAGACAATAAATCACATCCTCTGTCCCACATAAAACATTTCCTGGTCAAGAAAGACACAGGGGTCGCCTAAGACCATCGGAAAACACATATTCATTAAAGTTATGAAGGAAAACAATTGTCTAGGGGTTGCCACTACATGAGAGAACTGTATTAAAGGGTTGCGGCGTTGGGAAGGGTGAGAGCCACTGATCTGAAGATTTCTTTTAGGAATTCCCGTTTTGTTGGTCTAATTATTTACCATTTCAGCCTTGTCTTTCACACAGTAATTACCAATTTTACAAATTATACCCAAGAAAAAGTAAAGGACCCTTTTTCACGCCTTTCAGGCGTATTGGGTAGATAGGGCTACACCTATATTTTTTAGACCAAGGGCTCTTGGTGGGTGATGTCAGCATCACACCAGATGCCTTTACTTCCTAGGACTGTACCTGGTATCCACTCAAGGTTAGGTCGACCTGGAAGAAGAGGTCATTTTTGAAAAAAGTCTTGACCCCACAAATTATACAGGCTAATTTAGTTTATTATTTAACTTATGTGAATGATAATCAGATGCAAGTAAACATTGTAAGAAAAGCATATTCATACACATACGCAGTGTTACAAACTAAATACAGATACATCTACACATACATAACAAGACACGTATGTATAAACATATAACTTGCGAAGTACTTAACAGAGGTGCATGATATGAGAACTTGCGAGGTACTTAACAGATGTGCATGATATGAAAACTTGCGAGGTACTTAACAGATGTGCATGATATGAGAAATATATTCATACATACTCAGTTTTACGTACAGTTACATGTTAGTCATTCATTGAGGTTCCAGCTTGAATGCAGACGGATTGCCGAATCACTGCTCGTTCCTAAGCCAGTGGAAATCACACAAAGTCTCCTTCACTGTCTCATTTGAAAACTAGTCAAAAACATGTCAGGCTTATCCAAACCCTGAAGCTCACACCGGCAAAATAAATGCGAAAGCTAGCTATCAGATGTGTCAACACCAACAGTAAAAGGACTCATTTCCACCTCTTCAGTCATATTGGACATCACTTATATATATTTTATAGAATAGTCGACATTCGGTCCTTTACTTTCCAGGACTTTTCCCTGGTACCCACTCAGAGCTGGGTCAGCCTAGGAACCAAGGTCATTTTTTAACAGAAAAAAAAAGTATGATTCCATTACGACTCGAATCCTCAATCTTCGGATCCGCAGGTGAGCGTCTGGTCGCTACACCACGTTTCCTCCCTAAAACGAACATTCCTGCGTCCTCAGCACTAACATTACAGTATCAGAAGTGCAACTCCCTGTTGACGCAAGTAGTCAGTTACATAAGCCGGCATTGTAAGCAGGTTCTGCAATGAGGGGAGTAGACAGCAAGAACATTGAAATAGGCAAAGTTCAGCAAGCAGAAAATATAACATGAAAACAAAAATGCTACTAAAACTGAAGTAATGCAAGTCAGCAGAATTCCTAGTCCGCTGCATATCGGGTTGAATGGTACTTGTCTGACGCAAGTTCAAGAATTCAAATATCTAGGAAGTATATTCTTGGAGGATGGGAGAATACATTAGGAAATAGAAACAAGATGCCAACGGGCCAGTGCACTTGTCTACAGACACCGTTATTAAGACATCCTAACATAAATATTAGCACCAAGGAACAGATAATAAACCACATTTTCATACCAAGGCTGTGCTACAAGTGCCAGACTTGGGCATTATCAAAGGCTAACCGACGTAAAATTTAACACCTGTGAAATGAGGTGCCTGAGAAAATCCGCCAACTTAACCATCCAAAGCAAAAGTTAGAAATTATGTTAAAAGACAGACTGCAGGAACAACACCATGCAGCAAATTCATTGAGAAACAAAAGATCAAATGGTTTGGTAATCTAGTGAAAATGCAACCAGAACAACTACCAATGCAAGCACTACACATGAAAAGATGTGATGTGAAAGCAAGAGGCCACCCTAGGAGAACATGGATTGATGACATTAAAAGGCTTTTACATCGACACTCAATGACAGTAGCCACTGCTGCCCATTAAGCAATGGATCACAAACTGTTCCTCCCCACAATGCTTAATGGCAGGAGTGGAAATTGAGGATGATGATGATTAAGAAGAAGATTATTGAAGTCAAGACGGGTAAATATCATTTTAAAATGAGAGTTCTCAAATGGTTTGTTTTTTCAACACTGTAATATATCAGAATAAATGAGAAAGTGATAATGATTATGATGATGTGTGCGCAACTCTGAATAAGTACTCACCATTCTGATTGTAGTCAGCCACCTGCCATTTTTAGTGCAGTTCACAACACAAGAAACGTCACAGGCAAAAAAAAAAAAAAAAAAAACTTTCCACATGAAATCCACAGCTCACAGTGTCATACCAGGCACATAACTCGTTGAATTGCTGATGAAACCTTAGCACTTCAGTTCCAGAAGTGGGAAATTTGCAACAAAAAACCATTGTGACATCATGATAAATTTATCTAGCAGAAGTGAATGTGAACTACCACTGGATGATCTGTCCCAAGATTTTCTACCACCGGCTGAAGAACTTTGGTATAGAAGTTAATGCGCTTGCACTACATAAGGATTATCTGTCCCAAGATTTGCTACCACCTGTTAAAGAACACAGTATAGAAGTTAATGCACTTGTACTACGTATGGATTATCTGTCCCAAGATTTGCTACCACCTGTTAAAGAACACCGTATAGAAGTTAATGCACTTGCACTACATATGGATTATCTGTCCCAAGATTTGCTACCACCTGTTAAAGAACACAGTATAGAAGTTAATGCACTTGCAGTACGTATGGATTATCTGTCCCAAGATTTTCTACCATCAGTTGAAGAACCTGGTGTAGTAGTTAATACGCTTGCAGTATGTATGGATTATTTATCCAAATATTTGCTACCATTGGTTGAAGAACACGGCATATTAGTTAATGAGCTTGCACTACGTATGGATTATCTATACCAAGATTTGCTATGTCACACTTTGACTGTCATCCCTTTCTCTTTTGAGTTTAAACAGTTTTTACATGTAATTATGGAAACAGACACCATCTTGGTGCATCCTTTGCATTTATGAACTAACATGTTTTTTGCGTGAACTTTTTCTTTAGGTGAAACCGGCAATCGCCCCTCGCAAACCTCGTATGATTGCGCCAGCTCAGCCGGTGGCCTCCCCTCCCCAGCAAAACACACCACCATCACAAGCTTCATATTTGGCTGAGCTGTTGAAAAGTGGTGAGAAATAAATTTCTAGAAATGTGTTTGATTGAAAACTTGTAATGAGGCAAATTATTGTCTTCTTGGTGGGTCAACCCACAAAGAGACTAAGACAATAATTCAATCTAGCATCCAAGAAAGGTGGCTGGATACACACACTAAATTCTCTCCTCAAGAACTCGCTTCATCGTCTCTCTAGAGATGCACACTGGTACAGTGATATTCAGACTAAAGGGACAGGGCAGAACAGACTTCGTCAACATATGTTCAAATTATTCGGTGTATGAAACATGGAGATGTGTCCCTGCAGCCTGGCACCTGAAAATGCTGAGCGTGTGTTTGGAAGCTGGTGGATGCCAAACTTTATGGGCCGCTAAGTGAATCCAAAAGACAGTGAAGTTTATACTAGTGACAGCATTGCAGAAATGGATAATGTATTTAAAGCGAACAAAATAAAAAGAAGAAGAAAAATTGTTTGGCAAAGTCGAATTTGGGACCCTTTGAAAAGTTTGTTCCTTCGCTTGCCCCTATTCTCTGGCTTGCCAGCCTACAATAATTCCTTCCAATATAGTTTTGTCAAAGTGTTAAGGTTTGAATGGTACATAAGTATATTGTAATTTTATTCTTTCAATGGCCTTTTCAGTCTCCTCAAAGCCTTTGTATTTGATTGATTTTGTTTTCTCAAAAAATTTGTATCTATCCCCATCCCCAGGAACCCACAGTTGTTTTTAGTAGGTTATTCGCATTTATTCTGCTCCATTTAGTGATGTTGGATATTGACAAAATTTTTCATTTTTTTTAATACATTTATTTCTCTAAACTATTGATCATTGGCATCATAAGGGCTAATAGGTTGAAATGGCTGGGGCATATTAAAAGAATGTCAGATGACAGAAAGGTAAAAACTGTATACACAAGGGTGATAAATGGTCATAGACCAAGAAGGCGATGGAGAGATAATGCCCAGAGAGATCTGCAAACACTTAGTGTTACCAACTGGAAAGAGAAGGCTAACGAGAGAGATGAGTGGAGGCAGGTGATATCTGTGGCAGTGAATCTCAAGGGCTCTGAATGCTGAAGAGAGAGCAGAAGATTTTTCTCTCTAAGTGTTAATATGTTGTCATGTTGAAAATACTTTTGGCAATTCGTGTCCTTTGCTTTTTTCTTTGTCACTTCTGCCGTATGTTTTTCTTGTCGAAGCGAGGAGTAACACTTAATCTAGTATCTTTCTGTGATGTTGATTGTTGGCCCGTCCTTTCCACTGCTAATTAGGATCATGTACTCAGTAAGGTCATTCTTTTGTGTGTGTTTTTCTGCCGGGAAAAATAATAAAATCTGAATTCGCCTAGTCCATGCTGACAGCATTGGCCATGCAGCCATAGTTTCCCAGGCTCCAGACGACCCTCCCCCATTGCCCTAAATAGTGATAAAAGCAGGCTATAGAAAAATATTTTCATGTAAGTATCTAACTCATATTTTGGCTATACAGTTAGAAGCAGATTGTTTGTGAGTGTTAAAACTTGCTCCTTCACTGTGAGTTCTAGGGCTCGGTTCGGGGAATAAGGATTAAAAGATTAAAGTCGAGAGGATCGACTTCATTGCAGCGGTTTTTATTCCATATAGCTCAGTCTCTCCCTCTCTCTCTGCAGAATGGCTGGCCACCTACCAAGAGCCCTGCAGAGCACAAACTCTGTAGCTCCGGTGATGACCCCCAGGGATCCCCGTAAAAATTGCACTCGTGTGCTGAAAGACACTGACATGAAATGAACACACCACCTTCAGGGCACGAGGCAAACGGCTTCACCACGGAGACCCCCGGTTTGGAGAATAAAGAATACATCAGACTGTGCCACCTAACAGAAATATGATGAAAGGCGGAGAAGTGTAGGTTTGCTGAAATCACAGGTATCTTCGGCACCCAGGCATTGCTATGGCAGCCTAGCCATAAACCAGATCTTTTTTACACTTTCAGTTGCAAACAGTACACCCTGTGTACTGGACATTGCTCGTGTGCACCTGTCAGCATATTTTGTACATTTGTACATCTTAAGTCAGGCAAACTAAATCAGTCCAGCAACACAAGTCGCCCGCAGTGCACTCTGTGTATCTGAACCTGTGGATGATGTTTACCTACGTTTTTTGTAGTCATTATTATTGCTTCAATCAGGCATCAGCTTTGATCTTCTGCGACAGAGAGAGTTTAGGCGGGTGAACTAAAAAGTTGATGTTATCGATCCAGCGGCGTGTGAGCTTTGGCCCACTGCCATGTAGTGGAATTTACATGTTTTCACAAACTGTTCTTTCCTCCGTACAAAGTGTTCCACTTGTCTGGTCTCGGAGGGAGTAGCATTCTTCTAGTCTCGCTGAGTTTTGGACACCTAAAGAGATGGTGTTCTGCAGTTTCGTAGGCAACTTAGAAGTTAAGATTACTTCACATTTTGCTTTTGATTCATTTTCACAGCTTTACCACAGTGAGCTCCACCCACACCAGTTTGACTTTATGTCCTCATTTAGGTACATACGCAGGCGCTCTCATCAATGTCAAGAAGGAACCCACCCCTCCTACAGCAGTTTCTAGTCCAATCAAGACTACCACCAACTACTACCAGCACATGGTGCCCAGCTACAATCCATCTTTTGGTCTTGGGTCGGGAACTTCATCGGGAGCCATGACAGTATCAAGTCCTGTTATCAGCATGTCAGGTCCCATCAATAATTCTTTGGTAAGTGAATATATATAGTTGTTGTTGTTATTGTTATCGATCCAGCGGCGCATGAGCTTTCGACCTTTGGCCCAATGCCATGTAGTGGAATTTGTGGTGCTGGGGTGTCTGTGGATTACCTACCTCCCCGGGCAGCAGCTAGAAATGCCCTGTACCAGTTCTAAAGGAAATATGGGTTGTGTTTCTGCCTTCCCCTTTAACACGTAGCTAAGGTGGGGCTCACAGTGTTCTCATTCCCCGCCACCAGATTGCCTGCAGGTTTCGCTGAGCTCTTCATGTCTCTAAGCATGGCCTAAGCATGAGTAGTTGGGGCAACTGGATCGTCACGTCCTGAGTCCCTGTGCCTTCACGATAGTTTCCGGTATTCAGGGGGGTTAGCATACTTGTTTCCATTCCTAAGACTGTTCAGCACACCTCTGGTTCCTTCCCTCCCACAGGGGGCAGTACGGTGTGGTGCACCGGGTTTATTATCGAGGTTTGCTCCTCTAGATCCATTGTGTTTTGCCTGGGGATTCGCACCCCCAGTTACCGGGACTACCTCGGGGAGGCTGTGACTCTTCGCCACGCACAATGGTCTTGAGGTAAGAGAGGTTTTGCTAGGTCAAGAGGCTGACACCACAATGGACGCTCCTTTCGTGAACAGATATTCACTAGACCTAGGGTGAAGTAAGGGGGGGAACCCACTACCCACAACACCAACACTTCTTACCCCCTGCCTCTCGAGGCTCAGTCCCAATATATATAGTTAAGTCATGAAATGAGCAGGTAGATAGACTGGCCGGTTGTGCACCGTTTGGTGGTGAACTGATGTATGACAAGTTGGATGTTATGAGGGCTGTTTGGGAGCAGTTGAACAGTGCGGAGGTACCGATAGATTATTATTTACAGGGGGATCTGGACAGCGCTCAGCACTCAGTGGAAAGGCGAGATGGATTACCCCACAGTTACTGGTGCCCTCGGAAGTGGAACTCTTTGCTTGCACTAAAGAATAACGGATTCCTTTTTACCTCTTTTATTTAACTTTCTGTATTCTCAAACGAGCAGACATTACAACAGTGTTCCCAGTACTTGGTCTTCAAAGGCTCAGTTGGCTAGGTCATACATAGAGGATGGAGAACATCGGATTCCTTAAAGACATCCTCTATGGTGAATTATTGATGTGTAGATGTTGAGGTCGGCCTCAACTTCAATATAGATATGTACGAACAGGACGTGAAGGATACCGGTATTGAAAAAGATTCCTGGGGAAAATATGCCATAGACAGTGCTTCTTTTTAGGAAAAAAGTCAGGAAGGGTCAGCCTCAACTACAATATAAACATATGTGCGAACAGGACATGAAGGATACCGGTATTGAGATAGATTTGTGGGGAAAATATGCCAGAGACAGTACTGCTGGGAGAGGAAACAAGTCAGGAAGGGTCGTCCTCAACTACAATATAAACATGTGTGCGAACAGGACATGAAGAATTCCGGTATTGAGATAGATTCATGGGGAAAATATGCCAGAGACAGTGCTGCATAATGAGAAAACAAAATCAGGAAGAGAATACGAATAAATAAAAAAATGATTGTTGGTGGGTTAAGAGGTGAGCATCTGAGAAGAAGCACATTAAAAATATGGTAACAGTGGTCCTAAAATCCCATGCACCTGTCGTGGAAGACATTTCTCTACGTGAGCAGCCATCGCCATGTGCTGTGAGTCCCATACTTCCCTATAAATCAATTGTCTTAAAAACAAACATTAGAAGGCTCCAAGACAAACGATATACCATACTTGTCAGTGTTAGTTAGTCGACAGATTATCTTGATTGCACATAGAACCATTCATTCAATGTGCTTATATCCCCGCCTTAGTAAATCATGCCGCTTATATCAGCCACATCCCAATTAACATGTTGTTTTTGCAGTCTGTTCATAATTGCAGATTCGCAGTCATCACTTGGTTCTTACAAGACTATTCAGTGTGTAGGACACTGCCTTATACCAGGCGCAGCCCAAAGACATTTTCCGGGGGCAAAAACTCTGATTTAAAATTCTTGTACCCATGTCAGTAGACGCGCGCATGTTTTTGTTTGTGTCATGGCGGTGGTCTTTGTGGCTGAGTGGTTAAGCCATTAGCCTCATGCTCTGATGATCGCTGGTTTGCTCGATAGACTGCATTGTTCAATTCACACATGCAGTTTTTCTGCAGATCTTCAAAGATTGTCAGTGAAGCTGTAGAGTGTGAGTTATGAGTTAGATTATCTTCACAGCACTCTGGACACATCTAAAGGCAGAGTGTGTGCTTTTTTGTGATGCTCCCGGCAGGCAGCTAGCCATTCTGCTGAAAGAGAACTGAGCCGTGTGGGGTAAAACCAGTTCTGTGAAGTTGATCTTATCTGCTATAAACCTCTTGATGAGTATACAGTAATAAAGGTAAAAAACTATCACTATGCCTTCAAATGTGGGTATTACCCCATATTTTTAGATGAACAAGCGGGAGTTACATTGCAAGAGAAGCTGTGGGGGACCGGTGGCCACCTTAAACGCACAATCCTTTTTGTGACCGAGACGGGACTCACTGTTTTGCATGACTGATGTCGAACGCAGAAGAAGAAAAAGAAGATGAACAAGCCAGTTCTGTAAAACAGATGTGCGGTGCTTCCGGACCAAGATAACAGTCCAGAAGTGGGCAAACAACCAGAACTTTCTGTCTGTTAGGGTTTTTATCCAGTGAACGCTATGAATAAGAAGATATTAGATAAATACATGTTAAAACTAATTGTTGATGTGTAATTTATACCGTAGGCTATGATTCCTTTTTTTTTAAATTGTGCTCCTGTTCTTTCACCATGTAGACACTGAACAGTATGATTCAACCTGGCAGTTTGAGCAGCTATGACCCTTGTCTTCCTATCGTTAAAGAGTCATCGGCCAGATATTTTAATGTAATTGACTCCAAATGTAAGTAAACTGCGTAATTTCAAATTGTTGCAGAACTTAAATCATTTCTCTCTAGAAAAATCCATACATTGTGTGTGCTTGTGCATGTGCGGGCATGTATTAATTTGTTCTTGTCTCCAGCTACCCCAGTTTAAAAGTTTATGGGGGTGGGGGGATGTTTAGGGAGATGAAAATTTGTTTTCTTGTTCTTTACCTTTTCCATCTACATCATCAAATCTGTTTCACACACCACATTCTTACCCACTCTGTTTATGTTCATATCATATTTATGTTCAAATCATATCAACCAGACTGTTTACTTTCATATTATATCATACAGTCTGTTTCCATTTATACTATATCATCCAGTGTGTTTCCATTCATATCATCTAGTAGGTTTTCATTCATATCACATCATCCAGTCTGTTTCCATTCATATCACCAGTCTGTTTCTCCATTCATATTATCCGGTCTGTTTCCATTCATATCACCAGTCTGTTTCCATTCATATCACATCATCCAGTATGTTCCATTTATATCACATCATCCAGTCTGTTTCCATTCATATCACATCATCCAGTCTGATTCCATTCATATTATCCAGTCTGTTTCCATTCAAATCATATTATCCAGCCTGTTTCCATTCTTATTATCCAATATGTTTCTTTTCATATTATCCAGTCTGTTTCCATTCATATCATATCCAGTCTGTTTCTACTCACATCATAATATCTTCTGGTCTGATAAACACCTACATCATCTCATTGATTCCAACATCATCATCTCATAGATTCCACCCACATTGTCTCATTGATTCCACCCACATTGTCTCATTGATTCCACCCACATTGTCTCATTGATTCCAGCATCATCATCACATTGATTTCACCCACATTGTCTCATCCAGTTTCTTTTCCACCACCATCATAATATAATCCACTTTGTGCATCCACAGCACCTTCCTCAGCATCCATCAGTATTTTACCAAAGAGCCCCAGGTCTAGTCCGGTCCTGGTCAAGAGGACACCGTCTCCTACCTCATCTGTGGAAATGGGCAGTTTTGGAGATCCTGTCTCACCTTTCTCGTCATCCATGCCGTTGTCACCATCAGCTCTGGTAAGTTTGTGTGGGAGGGTGGTAGAGTAACTTGTTCCTTTTCTTTAGCGTTCACCATCTATAAACTCTAAAGGAAAGTTGTGGTTTGTGTCTGTTTCTGAACTTTGGTCCAGAACTCACGTTTGATGTGCACATTCATTTTACAGATCTGGTTTATCTGTGTGCAGACTGTTGGTTCCTTGCTTCTCAGGCAGATATAACTCTGATTTTGAAGGAAACACACCTAAATTAGTCCCCTTGTAAGGTGTACTTGTGGGAAGAACAAGGGACATCGGGTCTAATCTGTATGTATTAAAGGAGTTAAATTTAGAATAGCTCAAGCTAAATCAGCCTCTTACAAACAGATGAAAGATTGATTAAAGAAGTTAAATGTAGAATAGATCAAACTTAAGCAGCCTCTTACAAAATAAAGTTTCTTCTATGCTGTCTTTCTTTGTCAGTTGAGAAGAGAGTTCAATCCTTTTCTTCTTCTTCTTCTTCTTCTTCTTCTTCTTCTTCTTCTTCTTCTTCTTCTTCTTCTTCTTCTTCTTCTTCTTCTTCTTCTTCTTCTTCTTCTTCTTCTTCTTCTCTTCTCCTCCTCCTCCTCCTTCTTCTTCTTCTTCTTCTTCTTCTTCTTCTTCTTTTCCACCTTGTACCTCATCAAAGTGTCGGGGGAAAATGTAACATTTGTTAATGAGCTCTGCCATGAGCACTATTAAGACTGATGTTCATTTCTGTAAGGCTGTTTCTGCTAAATGCCATCACTCCATATTTTTCTAGGTCTTCCACTTGCTTTATACCCATTGTAACGTTTTAGTGTGGCTCTCTATGGCAGACAGTACCAGGGCATTCTTGTTAGGTGTCTAAACCACTTCAAATCCTTTTCTACAGGAGTAAAACATGGACTATTGGTGACAAGGTATTAGGCAACTGCAGGGATGTGGTTTTATAGACGAATGATGATAATACCCTGGACAGACGAAAGGAGTACTGAAGACGTCTTGAAAGAAACTGACTTACAAAGAGACTTGATTGCCCACATCGGAAAGAGACAATCTAAATTCTTTGGTCATGATGGTGGGAAAGTTGGAGCGGAGAAAAGGAAGTGGGAGGCAGAAAGAGAAGATGCTGGACAGTTTGACATCATGGCTTGGAAAATCATCTGAGTCAGAATTGATTGAAAGTACACGAGACAGAAGGTTGTGGATACCTCTTTTTCACAGACACTGGCTGGTAACTCTGCCAGAAAGTTCTGGTTGTTCATCCACCTTAAGACTTGTTTCAGAACCTGAGTGTTCCATGCACAACCGTTTTACAAAATTGACTTATTTGTATGTAGGCTGTTGGTTCCTTGCCTCTCAGGCAGTTGCACTCCGACTTTGAAGAAAACCCACAATTAGTCGACTCTTTTGTCATGTTTTTTTTATTGGAGGCTGTGGGTCTATTCTTGTTTTTCCCACAATAGGGTCCCAGAACCAACCTGGGGAACAAGTACAGATTAACTTTAAAAAAGAAATGTGCTTTACTCTTCCCTTGAAACTTTCTTGTGCCACCACTTGGTTGAAAACTGCTGTAGCCCCAGTGTCAGCTGTAATACCATAGAGTTTAGATCGTAACACCATAGAGTTTAGATCGTAACACCATAGAGTTTAGATCTTTCAAAGTATTAAAATGTTTTGTACAGTACAGAGAATCTTCTTGTTGGTCTTCACAGGCTGTACTCCAGCAGAAATTTTCTGGTTGTTTGTTCACTTCTGAACTTTGATCTTGTTCCAGAACTGGAGGTTTTGCATGCACATGCTGATTTATATCCAGACTGTTGGTTTCTTGCCTCTAAGGCGGATGCACTCCAACTTCACAGAAAACACCCCTAATTAGTCTACTTTTACAACATACTGGTACTGGGGGTGGGGGTAATTGTATCTACCCCCTCCCCTAAACCAGCATATTATTAATCAGTGGTTCTCAAACTTCCTAACGCCGCGACCTTTTATTACAGTTCCTCATGTTGTGGTAACCCCCATCCATAACATTATTGTTGTTACTGCTTCATAACTTCAGTGAATATGTGTTTTCTAATGGTGTTGGGCGACCCCTATAAAAGGGGCGTAAGACCGTCAAAGGGGTCATGACCCACAGGTTGAGAACCGCTGTGGTAAATGATGGAGCCCCGGAATCCACATAAGGACGTCTAACACAGAGAATGAAAACTATGCTTGTGATTTCTACTTCCAGGGTTTAGATGGTACCCCTGACTCTCCCGGTTCTGGGGATTCCCCTTTTCCAAGAGAGCATAGAAGAGCAGCCCATTTGTCTGCTGAGCAGAAGCGGAGGTGTAACCTCAAGGTGGGTCACCTGCTTGCATACTTGTTGTGTATTCATTGTGTTTTAAGTCAGACTGAAGACATAGTGAAAGCCTAGAGAGATTACATATCCCTAAACCTAGGTTACCTTGGTCTGCCAGAATGACTAACAATGATTGCTTGGACAGTAGAACATTAAATTCAACAGTGAGATGGAGACAAAGTTGTTTGGTGAGAAATAGAGCATCGAAAAATATTAGCATGACTTCAAAGATAACTGGTAGAAGAGGCAGCAGCAGACTAAGAGAAATTATGGTGGATGGCTTAAGACAGTGACATGGAGGAATTTCATCAGAGGAATTGATCCAGAACACCAAAGACCGTGATCTGTGGAGATATATGAACGCCTACGCCAGCTGGCAGGGCTCTTGATGGTGATAAAACCTAGGTTAGACTTCAACAAAGCATTCTTAATGTACTCGGCAGCGGATCTGTGGAACTCACTTCCACAGCCAATCGAAACTATCTACAACCCCTATGCATACAGTTGGAAACCTTTGAATGTTATTTTATTAGGTTTGAGGTTTTGAACAACGGATCAACATCATGGCACATGGGCAGTAACCCATAAGTGCTCCGTTTTTCTTCTAACTCAAGTCTGAAGAGGCTCAGCACAGGCTCTGTAGCACCAACAAGGATCCTGAAATACTTTGGGTAGATTTTAAGCTCCAAATTTAGCTTGGGTAGCGCCGTTAGGCTACTCTTTTCGATTTCCAACTGCCAAGATATTTTTTTACGTGCACTCACAAGTCCACTTGAAAAAAGGGATTGGACCCGGAATCTCTAGCACTCGAGGCGGATTACAAGCCTTGAGACCATACAGCCCCCTTATCTTATTAGAGACAACATACTCCATTAAACGATAATAAATAGCATTCGAAGCATATTGTTGATTTGCCTTCGATTTATTATACTTAGTATTATTATAATTTTAATATTTAGGTATACTTACAGCACATTGCAGTTGGTAACTAGGACTTAGACCATCCCACAAACAAAATTATATCTCAAATTCTTGATGTATGGGAAGTGAATCATGGACAGCCAACAGACAGTTGCCAAGGTGACAGTGGTGAAAGCCTGCACCTCAATGTTGGACACAGTTTTTGTGTTGTTTCAAAGCCCCACCATGGCTGTTTCCAGGGGCCCTAATATAACCCAACCTAGGGTTTGAGCGGGGTTTCTGGGACCTGTCCCGGGGTGATCCTCATGTGAATGGTTTAACTTTGTGTGATGTCTTGGTAGGGCTGAACATCATCATCAGTTGACAGGATATGCCTTTACAACATGTCAAGAGAGCATGGATTTGCATGTGACAGGAGGGTGTGTAGAGATCCTTTGTGTCAGAAAATATAAATAGTCTGAAAAAAAGTACTGTTGAACAGCCCTTAACTGGGAAGGTATTTAGGATACTGACTCCCAGGTCAGAGGTTGTTGCTAGGGATGATGTCTTAGTACACTTAATGAGCAGTCAACGGGACAAGAATCACAGATGACTTGCATTCCCTGAAAGTGTAGAGCGCGTTTCATCACTTTATAAGATCCAGATAAGGAGCACATTGTGGATTTTCTGTCCAGGAATATCAGGTGTAAGAGGTAACGAGCAAGCTGATGGATTAGCTGCTGCCACTTCTATGGTGAAGGCTCTGAATAAGTAAATCCTGTATAACTGAAATATAAATATAACAGGATTCGTTTATTTGCTACCTTTAATTTAATTGTTATTGTAGTATGCACCAGACAAGGCACAGTGAAACACGCCAGTCAATAAATTGTGCAAAGTATTGTGTCCTCTTTGTTCAGATTTGCCTTAGGAAAAATATTACTTTGATCTTGTGTTCTGTTTGCTTAGTTGTAGAGCAGAATGTAAACCCCAAGTGTATCACCTTACAAACATCTTCTGTGATCTATTACAGACTGGCTTTGACATGCTTCAGCAGCTAGTTCCGTCCATATCGCAGAATCCTAAAGTCAGCAAAGCCACCATGCTGCAGAAAAGTTAGTAGCTTGCTTGTTGCTGCTGGTGCTTGTGTGTGTGTGATGTTGATATTTATGGACAGAATCATTTCTCAGAAAGTGAAATACTTTGGCTAAATTGAACACCTATCATCTGGGTAAAGATTCAACATCATATGGATGGAAGGTCTCCACAGCGAAGTGGTCAAGCCATTTGCCTTGGGTTTTAACGATCCTGGGTTCATTTTAATGGCGGTGCCGTTCAGTTAACGCGTGCAGTTTTTACGTAGATCCCCGGGGAATCATCGCCTAAGCTGCAGCGGTCATGCATAGTTCTTACCATGCACAGGCTCTAGCCTTGTCACCCCCCCAGAAATAGTACAACAGTTGGTCATGACCCTGTGAGTATTGGCAAAAAAGTCCTTTGAAAATTGTTTTTCTCAGGTCACTGATAAATTTGTAAATAAAATTATTAGTCTGCATTCTAAATTTATGTCTCCATGGTAAAGATCAGCTTTAAAAGTGATTTCGGCTATCCTCCGAATAATGGTCTCAAATTATCGAGGCTGAAAATATACCCTATCAGGGCCTCAGCCACATGTAAATTGCGAACCTCTTCCGGCGACTACACAGCATACTGCCGAGAGTATCTCCCGCACTGCTAAGTGCGGTGCGGAAAGGGGCTAAACTAGATGGCTGGGACTCACGAGCAAATAATATGGAGGAAGCTGCATGAGATGCGGTAGCTGCTGCTTGTGAGTCCCAGCCATCTTGTTTAGCCCCGCTTCGCTCTGGCAGTGTAACTCGGCGGAAGCTTTTTCGCTGTATGCTGTGTAGTCTCTAGAAGAGGTCCGCAATTTACATGTGACTGAGGCCCTGTTAGGGTATATTTTTGGCCTCCATAATTTGGGACTGCTTTTTGGAGGATAACAGTGATTAACTCCCACCCCCTCCTTCCCCACCCCCTCCTCCCCCACTAGTTTTTGTAAATATATTCATATCCTGACCTTCTTAAAGCTACACAGGTATGAACTTAGCCAGTAGCATTAACTGCATTTTGCAAAAATCATTACTGTACAAAGCTAGGAAAAGTGACATGGTTTGTGTGGGGGGGGGGGGGGGGGATGGTTTGCACTCATCTGGGAGTGTCAATTTGCTTCTTTGAGTGACATGATTAATGTGCAAAAAAAGTTACAAGATTGATTAGAAAATGTTACTTTTAATTTTTTTGATGCACAGGCTTTATTATTGTTAAGTAAATTCTTTGTGTTTGTTGCAGCTGCTGAGTACTGTAAAAAGTTGAAATCTGAGAGGTCACAGATGCATAAAGAAGCTGCCATTTTGAAACAGGAAATCGATGCTTTAAATTCTTCAATTAGCATGGTGCAGTCGCAGCTTCCAGAAACTGGTGTGCCGGTTACCAGACAACGTAAAGATATGATGAAAGACATATTTGACGAATATGTCAGGTCGCGAACGGTTGAAAACAGCAAATTTTGGATTGTATCCTTCTTTTTTTGTCATTTAAATAATTGTTTTGTGTGTGAGTTCTGTGCAGTTGTAACATTGAAACACTTATTTTAACTAGGTGACTTTTCAGTAATGGGGAACTTAATTTATAACTTACCCCTGACATCACGACGACGTCACGGGAGACATTCCCAAAACATTCTAGGGTGTTCAGGTTGTATTTTCTCTTGGTTTCTCTACATCTAACCCTAATCCTAACCCTAACCCTAAGACACGAGATGAACACTCAAAAACAACAGCACACTTTCACCCCTTGAAATGATGGACTGTCAAGTCAGCTGTGGAATTCCCACGGGAGTTTCGTGTTTGGGGTACGTTATAAATTAAGAACCAGTAATTGTTACGGCATGTGTTGGAATGGGAGCCGCCGTGGTGTAGCAGCTAGACACTTAACTGCGGGTTGGAAGATCGTGGATTTGGGTCCTGGCGGAGCCGGATGTTTTTTAAAAAAGAAATCACATTGGCTCCTAGGTTGAGCCAGATGTAATCCTTGGATGACGAATGCAGTGAAGGGTGTGACTCCATGTCCCTGTCTAGGCTGGTGCACATGGGGAGGAAACCTGGAGCTGCAAGAAGTGAACATTTCACCAAGGTACAAGATGTTTGATTAATCAACATAGAACAGGCTTTATCAATCATTCTGCTCAACATAGAACAGGCTTTATCAATCATTCTGCTCAACATAGAACAGGCTTTATCAGTCATTCTGCTCAACATAGAACAAGCTTTATCAGTCATTCTGCTCAACATAGAACAGGCTTTATCAGTCATTCTGCTCAACATAGAACAGGCTTTATCAATCATTCTGCTCAACATAGAACAGGCTTTATCAGTCATTCTGCTCAACATAGAACAGGCTTTATCAATCATTCTGCTCAACATAGAACAGGCTTTATCAGTCATTCTGCACTTGTGGAGCATTTAAGAATGAGATCGGAGCACCTATGCATAATGGTTTTTTTTAAAGGCTCGGGGCGTGTATTACCTTTAGTGCTTGACTCTACTCATGTTTATTGATAACCCCTTCATATATCTTTTTCTATTTTGTTGAAATTTTTTTTTTTTAATAAATATTTTTTTAAAATGTTTTTTTTTTTTTTTTTTTTATTAGTGACCTATGTCAGTTTTTTTTAAAGAGGATTTTTGCCCGGGAATTCCCACGGGTTGTGTCGTGGCCCATTTTATTTTGTTTTTTGGTGTGCTTGCTGATCAGAAAGGTTAAGAAACTGTGGTTCCTTAACACAGCCGCAGTTTTCCATGCTGATGAGCTCTCTCTGCGAGTCCTACTGCAGTACAGTATCCACATCCAGCATGGAGGAGTTGTGCCGGACAACCCTCACTTGGCTGGACCAGTCATGTTCATTAGTTAATCTCAGGCCAAGTAAGTATTGTTAGATTTGTATAGAAAGGGAATTAAAGGACCTTTTTTTTTTCACGCTGTGAGAGGAGTGGCTGCCCGAACGGTTAGAATGCTGGGCTCTCAAGTGGGAGGCCTGGGTTCAAATCCTCTATACTGCTGGGGAATTTTTCCTGTCGGGGGCAAAATAACAATCCTTACCTGCTCAGTTGTGGTGACAGCACTAGCCTTGCTGCCTTAAAAACTCAGGCTCATAGACCCTCCTGCCTACACAGCAAAAGTTGTATAATAAAGGCAGTAGTTGACAGTTATTTCCTATGCCTAAAGGCGTAATGGGCATATAGGGCTAGACTCTCATTTAATAGACCAATTGGCACATGGTGGGTGACGTGGTCAACATCATGTCGGCCGCCTTCACTTCCAAGGATTATACCTGCTACCCATCCATGGCTGGGTCAACCCAAGGTTACATTTTTAGGTGCTTTATTTTTAGCCGACATTTTAACCCACATTTGTCTGTGGGGATGTTATGTTGGGAAGTAGTCTCCTTCCACTGTATGCCCAGTGTTGTCTGTGGGGATGTTATGTTGTGATGTAGTCTCCTTTCACTGTATGCCCAGTGTTGTCTGTGGGGATGTTATGTTGTGATGTAGTCTCCTTTCACTGTATGCCCAGTGTTGTCTGTGGGGATGTTATGTTGTGATGTAGTTTCCTTTCACTGTATGCCCAGTGTTGTCCGTGGGGATGTTATGTTGTGATGCAGTCTCCTTCCACTGTATGCTCAGTGTTGTCTGTGGGGATATGTTGTGATGTAGTCTCCTTCCACTGTATGCCCAGTGTTGTCTGTGGGGATGTTATGTTGTGATGCAGTCTCCTTCCACTGTATGCCTAGTGTTGTCTGTGGGGATGCTATGTTGTGAAGTAGTCTCCTTCCACTGTATGCCCAGTGTTGTCTGTGGGGATGTTATGTTGTGAAGTAGTCTCCTTTCACTGTATGCCCAGTGTTGTCTGTGGGGATGTTATGTTGTGATGCAGTCTCCTTCCACTGTATGCCCATTGTTGTCTGTGGGGATGCTATGTTGTGAAGTAGTCTCCTTCCACTGTATGCCCAGTGTTGTCTTTGGGGATGCTATGTTGTGAAGTAGTCTCCTTCCACTGTATGACTTTCATACCATTGTCCAAAATTTTAAAATCATCTACTGGGTTAATGATCCCTAGTACTTGAGGATCATGAAATTGTTAACCACATTCACTAAGCTTTAAGCCACAGAGCTGCAGCAGATGTCAGACACATGTTTAATTTACATTATACGTGTTCTGTCTCTGAGAAACATAACAGCAGTGAAAGCGATTTTTCTGCAAGAAAGTGCAAAGAATGCCACAAGCAGTCTGAGTTGGTGATCCGTGACAACCCACTCACTGCCACAAATAGTTGCTTGAGATGGTGATCCACGACTACCCCACTCACTGCTTCATTTGGTTGTGTGAGATGGTCATCTGTGACATCCCGCTCACTGCCGCATGTGGTTGCCTGAGATGGTGATCCGTGACAATCTACTTTACCACTTGTGGTTGTGTGAGATGTCAATCCATGACAACCCACTCACTACCACATGTAGTTGTGTGAGATGTCGATCTGTGACAACCCACTCATTGCCACATGTGGTTGTGTGAGATGTCGATCTGTGACAACCCACTCATTGCTACATGTGGTTGTATGAGATGTCACTCTGTGACTACCCACTCATTGCCACATGTGGTCGTGTGGAGATGATGAACCGTGATGGCCCCCTCATTGAAAGATGTTCTGAAACTTGACTGAAGTCCAGAATCAGACGAACATCCAGAGCTTTGTGCCTTAGTTTACAGTCACTTGAGTTGAGTTAAGAATTGACATCACAGCACTCGGGGAAGCTCATGCAGAGTTCCAACACTAATGGTCCCAGTCGTAGTCTGATTGTATGTCCGTCTTGCCTTTCCTTTGAGTGTAGTGAGCCGGCCAGACCCTCTGGTCATATCCAGATGCATCATTCTCTCCAGGCCATAAAAATCACATTTCTCTTCCCACTTCACTATTTTTCTAATTATGGCCAGTGAATCTTAAGAAGAAGAAGAAACTATGTAGCGCCAGTAAAGACCTCAAGTTTTCCACCTCTTTGTGAGCCAAATTTAAATAGATGTTTAGCAAATGTTTATCACTTAAGAAGCAAAAGAGACTTCAGCATGTCACATGTTGTTTATTTCTTATTCCTCTTGTTTTCATTTCTCCGCCAGGTGTACTAAATGCTTTAAGGCAGTTGAGCACCAGTACGCCAATACTGACAGAACCTCAGAGGATGAAGGAGCATGCACTGCAGGTAGTCTCTAGGAAAGGAAAGGTGCAGCGGAGCAGCAACATGTCGGCCAGATAGTCTACATTAGAAAAGTATTACTGAATAGTTTAAATAGCACACACAACATATTTCATTGGCCAGTCAGATGACCTTGTGATTGCCAGATAGTTTAGATGTTGGTTTTTTTTTTTAAAGAAAGGGTGGGGGTTGTGTTAAGAAAAGTATTCTCATTGATACCAGGTTGTAGCCAGTGTCGTGAATTTCCGTATTTGTCTTGCGTTTTTTTTTAGTGTCGTCTCACCGATACCAGGTTGTAGCCCAGTGTTGGAGTTTTTGTTGTCTCACTGATACCAGGTTGTAGCCCAGTGTTGTGGTTTTGTTGTCTCACTGATACCAGGTTGTAGCCCAGTGTTGTGGTTTTGTTGTCTCACTGATACCAGGTTGTAGCCCAGTGTTGGAGTTTTTGTTGTCTCACTGATACCAGGTTGTAGCCCAGTGTTGTGGTTTTGTTGTCTCACTGATACCAGGTTGTAGCCCAGTGTTGTGGTTTTGTTGTCTCACTGATACCAGGTTGTAGCCCAGTGTTGGAGTTTTTGTTGTCTCACTGATACCAGGTTGTAGCCCAGTGTTGTGGTTTTGTTGTCTCACTGATACCAGGTTGTAGCCTATTGTCATGAATTTCCTTATTTGTCTTGGGCTTCTTTTGTCGTCTCATTAATACCAGGTTGTAGCCCAGTGTCACAGATTTCTGTATTTGTCTTGCTCCTCTTTTGTCGTCTCACAGATACCAGGTTGTAGCCCAGTGTCACAGATTTCTGTATTTGTCTTGCTCCTCTTTTGTCGTCTCACAGATACCAGGTTGTAGCCCAGTTGTTGTGGTTTTCTGTATTTGTCTTGCTCCTCTTTTGTCGTCTCACAGATACCAGGTTGTAGCCCAGTTGTTGTGGTTTTCTGTATTTGTCTTGCTCCTCTTTTGTCGTCTCACAGATACCAGGTTGTAGCCCAGTTGTTGTGGTTTTCTGTATTTGTCTTGCTCCTCTTTTGTCGTCTCACAGATACCAGGTTGTAGCCCAGTGTTGTGGTTTTGTTGTCTCACTGATACCAGGTTGTAGCCTATTGTCATGAATTTCCTTATTTGTCTTGGGCTTCTTTTGTCGTCTCATTAATACCAGGTTGTAGCCCAGTGTCACAGATTTCTGTATTTGTCTTGCTCCTCTTTTGTCGTCTCACAGATATCAGGTTGTAGCCCAGTTGTTGTGGTTTTCTGTATTTGTCTTGCGTTTCTTGGGTGGCTTGGGTGATGGATTTGTTGATCTTTATTGCAGGTTTTTGCTACACCATTTATCCTTCTCTTTCTTGGTCTTCCTACCAGATTTTCTGCTGTAAAAAGTCTCATATGCAGTTTGGTCTGGCTGCATTCTTACTAGATGGCTGAAGCAGGGATTTAATTGCTCTAAATGTTCCTTATCCTTTTGAGTGTCAGCTGTGCCTTGTATCTCAGCACTAGTGACTTGAGCACCTTTTTCAGACTTCACCTTTCTGCTGGATCACTGGGGGGGGGGGGGGGGGGGGGGGTGTCCATTGGGAAGGTGTGGAAAGTTCCATGGTCTAAGAGACACTGTGTTTAATTGTCTAATGAATCTCTGCATGTTCTATCATAATCCTAGTTGTTAATCAGGCCCTTTTAACCCACTGACTACCAAGCACATTAACCCTTGCATTTCCCCAGATACCACGTATTTTAGTGTGTACTAAAAATGCCATAGCTTCACAACTATTTGATATAATCTCACAATATTTTGTATTTTTGCACCAAACTGAATGAAGAACAAATTTCAGGGAAAAAAAGTTGTTTATTTTGTTTTGCATCATCATCATGTGGCTGTAGATTAGTGCAAAAAAGGCAACCGAAAAATCTTTTATCTGACAACAATAAAGACTAATAAAAATGTCTTATTTTCAAAAAATATTTAACAAAAATGAATAATATTTTGTATTTTTTGCACAAAATTAAACCAAGAACCCATTTAAAGAAAATAAAAATAAGGTTTACTCTGACATAGTCATCATCATCATGTGGTTGTAGATTGTTGCAAAAAAGGCAACTGAAAATCTTTTATCTGACAACAATAAATACTAACAGTGATGATTTTTTTTCAAAAATATTCAACAAACATATATTACATTTTGTATTTTTGCACAAAATTGAACCGAGAACAATGTGAAGACAAAAAATGGGGTTTACTTTGTCTGCCATAATCATCATCATCATGTGGCTGTAGATTGTTGCAAAAAAGGCAACTGAAAAATCCTTTATCTGACAATAATTCAGACTCCCAAAAAATGTCACAGCTTCACAGCTGTTCAATATCACTTATCCTATCTGATATTGTTTGCACCAAATTAAATAGATAACAAATATCAAGACATATGTAGATTTACTGTTTTATATCATCATCATGTGGCTGTAGATATGATGCTGAAAAGGCAACAGACAAATCTGTTATCTGACAGCAATACATAGAAAACGCCCCAGTGACGTGATGGTGGCAGCAAATGATGAGTGGATAGATGGATATAGACTCCGGTAGTCTGAAATAGACGGCTTTTTCACAACACATGTGAAGCAACAGTACAAGAAACCATGTTACTTCATTTGGGGTTGTGTGTTTCCAGTTCTTGGAAAAACAGGTGTCTGGTTTCGCACCAATCTTTGCCTCAGCATAACGGTTTGTTTCTTTAGCAAACACAGCCAGAATTTCTTTACTGAAGAAAATATTCAGTGGTTCATTTGTTCCTGCTGGCAGAAATAAACCAAAAGTGCCAGTAAATGGGGGTACTCCAGGAAAGCCTTCTTAATCACAATGCCAGTCATCAACCATTGGGGGGCGTGGCACATCTTCCCCGGACTCGTCAGATGATGATGATTCTGAATCAAAAGCGGCAATGATATCTTCGTCATGTGCAGACTCACGCACAAAATCTTTATAATCTGTGGGCTTTGACTGAATACTCTTACAAGAACTATCAGCATCATAAACTGCGGCACCAGTACTTGCAGCCGACAACACTGTGACTGTCTTTGTCAGACTTGACTTTGAAGCTTCATGCTGTCGTTTTACAGTCGACGATGTTTTGAATGGCACTTCGTTAAATTTATTATAGTCATAGCCATCAAACTGTTCAGAAGTGTCTTCAAATTCACTTTTTGAAGCAAAATCAAGAAAATCAAATGCATCATTAGAAAAATTAGGAGAGATATGGCCACCACGATGGTTCGGATAATTTGACGCCATGATGAATTTTTCGTCAATGTCTCACCGTCATGGGAGCTAACTAAAAAAATTCGTCAAATATTTACTTCAAGCACTACGAAGTTATTTCCCTTAATTAACCATACAGAAATGAATAAGCTAGAGGTTTCAACTAAATCCATCATAAAAATCGCGATTTTAACATGACATCGAGCGTCCAAAGCTAAAATCGCAAAGGGTGCGACGTTGGCAGAAGGAAGTAAACGTCGCCTCGTCGCATTACGTGCGACGCTGGTAGTCAGTGGGTTAAGATTGTTACTGTAAAGGTTTCTGCCCTGTTCAGCTCATCTTAATGTTCTCACCCCTAATTCTTGCCTACACAGCAGAGGAATAGTTTACTAATTTTAAATTTTCGATGTGCCTTCTTTCTCTGCAGCGGTAACCTAAACACTTTTTCAGACTTAAACAGGGGGAACTGCTTGGTCTCGAGGCATGGTGTTCGCGTTCAATCCCCAGTAAGGGCTGGGATTTTTTCACGTGGACTTGGACTTTTAGTAGTATTCCCTAGTCTCTGGGTAGTGAGATGGGATGCCTGTGTGCATTGTTTGCGCACGTAAAAAATCTCTTTGCTGTTGAAAATTGAAACGAGTAGCCTTACAGCGCTGCCCGGGCAACATTTTGAGTTAACAATCTACATTTCAGGATCCTCACCAGTGCTACAGAGCCTGTGCACCGTGCTGAGCTTCTTCGGACTCAAAATCACGTGCCACGATGTTGATCCGTTGTTCAAAACCTCAAACCTAAACCTTCTGCTGGATCACTGGGGGGTGTCCATCGCTGAAGGTCTGAGAAGTTGTAAAGGGACCGTGAGGCAACCATGTCTCGTAAGGCTCTGCATGTTGTCATAATTCTGCTTGTTAGTCAGTTCATTGTTCACATAAAAGAATGTTGAATTAAGAAACAATGTCACAGCACTTGGGGCATTGCCATCAGCGATCAATCCTCGCCTTCAGCAGCAAACGCAAGAGTTCCAATTTTAGTGGTACCAGTAACAGTCTGTATGTCTTGATAGCAACAAGTCAGAAAGAACTACAGGAAATGATAGACATTGTGGTGTTAGATAGTGGAAGAATGGGCCTCAGTTTGAATAATGGGAAGACAGAAGTAATGGTGGTATCAAAGAAACAAATTATTCCTAAGTGTGTAATAAAAGTTGATGGTGTCATTTTAGGACAAGTACAGAAATTTAAGTATCTGGGCACATGGATAACATTAGATGGAAGATGCATAACTGAGATAAGAAACAGAATAGGACAGGCAGAATTTTTATTTTATAAAATGAAAAACATCTTGTGCAATATATCCTTGTCATTGAGAGTTAGAAAAAGAATTCTTGCTTGCTACATACATCCAGTTTTAACATATGGCTGTGAATCCTGGACAATCGGTAGGCAGGCCAAACAATTTCTCTAGGCTTCAGAGATGTAGTTTTACAGAACAATGCTTAAAATACCTTGAACAGCCAAAAAAAAAAAAAAAAAAGCAACCAACAGGTTTTTAAAGAGGCGGGAGCCCAAAGACAACTTATCACAGACATCAGAGGGAGACATCATTTTTCGGCCATGTTATGAGATGAGGGAAGATAGAACATGTTGTGACACTGGAAAGATATGTGGAAGGAGAGATAGAGGAAGACAACGAGAGAAGATGCTTGACAGTCTTGTTGCATGGCATGGAGGTGTGTCGGCACACGAACTGATACATGCTGCAGGAGATCGCAGATTATGGAGAGGTATTATTGCCTGCGCCAGTCGGCAAGGCACC